GACAAACCCCTGGAAGGATCACAGTAGCAGCAAAAATGGCAACAATGGCAGTAACATTAATGACCTTGGTTTTAGCAATGTGGAAGCCGTGTCGCTTCCAGAACAGGATGTCAAAGGGGAACCACAGAGCCCACGATTGTTAAAAAATGCTGATGCACCAAAGTTCTGGATGGTTTGAAGAGTAGGAATGATACCAGAGAGATAATTGTAGGAAAGATTAAAGTGTGTTAGCATATTCAAATTCCCAAGTGAAGGGGGGATTGATCCAGAGAGTGAATTCTGTGAGAGATCAAGAAATTGGATTTTTGACAAGTTCCCCAGACTAGATGGGATACTTCCATTCAAATGGTTGCCATGCAAGTCAAGAATTTCCAGATTTGACAGGTTGTAAAGGGTATCTGGAATATGTCCCTCTAGGGTATTTCCAGAAACATCCCTGAACCAACATAATACAAGTCTCTTAGAATTAATTCCAAGCAATGCTGATGAAAATCTAAAATACATAAAGCTAGCGCTTATACTGACAGTTTACGAAGAAACCTGCAATTGCTTATATCCTCAGGAATTCCACCAGCAAGGTTGAGATTATGCAAATCTAAGACCTGCAGTAACTCAATGCTACCAAATCCAGCTGGGATTGTCCCACTTAGTGAATTATTAGCCAAGCTGATTGCCCAACGGCTTTCCAAATCCCCAATATTAATTGGTATGGTCCCAGTAAACCCGTTGAACCCCAAGTCTAAAATTTTGAGGCTTTTACAGTTTGAAATGCTTGTTGGGATCTCCCCATTCAAACTATTCCATGAAGCATCTAAAAATTTCATTGCCTCACTACAGGTTCCAATCAAAGGAATCTCACCGAAGAACCGTTATGTGAAACATTTAAATAAGTAATATTTTTAAATTTAAGAACCAATAGTGGTGCCAACCCTGTGAAAGAATTTGTGCTAAGATCCAAATATAGCAAGTTTTGGCACTTTGATATATCTTCGAGTACACTGCCACTTAATGCATTGCTACCAACAGATACATACTTCAGTACTGAGATATCGCAAATTCGAGAAGGTAATTCACCAGTAAGATTCTTGAACGAGAAATCAAACCCTTCAAGCTTACTACAATTCATAATGGACCCCGGAATGGAACCAGAGAGACTGTTATGGGAAAAACAAACATACTTTGTTTTGTAACAATTCTTAAACAAAGCAAATGGAATCACTCCAGTATAACTATTCTTTGAAAAATCAAGAAATCTGATGTTAGGTTAATCACCAATGAAATCTGGTACGGAACCTGATAAAGCATTTCAACTCACATTGATCTTCCATAATGTTTGTAACAGTGAATATTCTTGTGGGATGTTACCTAAAAATCTGTTGCCAAACAATGTCAAGACTCTGAGAGAGCTTAAACCTGACAAGGCAGCTGGTAGTTGTCCACTGAGGCTAGTGTTCCACAAAACAATCTTGTCCACAAATCCCTCTGGATTACAGAACACACCACTTAAATCTAAACAAGGGTTACGACTTTGGACCCAGGAAGTCAAGCTGTTGTAAGGATCATCAGTGATGTTTCCTTTAAATTGGAGCAAGGTTTCCTTTTCAGTTGCTGATAACAAAATGTTGAGGATTCTGTTACCAAAGGAAGCAAGAATCAGGAAGAGCAAAGCATGCGAAACAAAATATTGATGGATCCTTCTCATGCTCGAAACACGGCAGGAACACAGACAATTGAGTCTACACGTTTGGCCTTATTGAATAAAATTCTAAGGTCTGCCTATCATGCTTTTCCCATAGCAAAGCTTGTTTTTTGCACTTGTAAAAATCTCGAGTACCAAAGACAAGAAAACACATCAAAATCAAGGCCAAACACCAATATTTTTCACTCCCTTCCTCTCACAACAACTCAACAAGCTCCAAAATTTTACGGACATTTTCTCACCAAAAACAACAGAGCTACCCCTTTTAACCCACACTTTCCTCAATGAATCAAAGACTAAGAAGTCAGAACCGAAGATCTCTCCTTTTTCTTTCCGGGTTTGAGTTTAAAATCTTAAATTTTTTAGCTCTTCCAGGTATAAACAAAAGAAAGAGAGTTAAAGACGGCAAGCAAAAAAGCATAGGAGAAATTGCAACGAAAATGATGACAACTGACAAGTGAGAACAAATATGCAGAAGGGGTCTTGGCTGGAAAGGAATACAGTTGTACAGGTGAGCCAATATTTATATCTATACGGTTGCCACCAACAGAAGCTGAACCACGTGCATGTACATTTCTTTCTATCACAAAGCTCAGCTCTTTTTATTACAATACAGCCCTCTCCCTCTCTTCTCTCTCTGTCTCTCCCCTCCCATTTTTCTTTGTTCTAACTCCCAGTTTGATATAAAGAAAAAGAAGACAAGTTGAAGTTGAAAACCCCACAGTGGTCCGTGTAAGGATAGGCCTCCGGCTGTGTCTGTCTCACCAACCCATGCTACCAATTCTTATCATCACAACAAAATTATTGGCAGGATGATAATAGAAGAATAAAATATATGTTTATAAAAAAATAAAAATTTAAGTACAACCCAAAAGAGAAGGGAGCGTCAATGAAGGAGAAAATGGTGGGTTTTTTGTTGACTGACTTGTGTTGTGCTTTTTTGTTCTTCTACTTGCATTTAATTCTTTGTTTCCGTTCTGATTGAGACCTTGAGAGGACACTCCTTTGATTTTTCATTTTTATTAAATTTAGTCAGATGGGCCGTCAAAATTTATTTCCATTTCCCTTTTTTTTCCCCTTTATATGCAGAAATTTTAGAAGGAAAAAAAAAAAGAAAAATTAAAAGTGTTTACACCGTATTTTCAGCTGGCTAATGGGAGTCTTCTCCTATCTCCGTTTATTTTTGGATAAATATTAATAAATTTTTGAATTATTTTTTTAAATTTTTTTATATTTTATTATATTTAAATAAATTTTTAATTTTTAATTTGAATTTAAATAAATTTTTATTTTAAAGGAAATAATTATTATGTTAAGAAAGAAGTACAAATTAAGAAATTAAAAATTTATTTGAACATAGATTAAAAGTTAAAAATTTATTTAAATTAAAATTAAAATTTAAAAATTTATTTAAATATAATAAAAATATAAAAATTTATCTGAATAAAATTATTATGTTCAAGAATTTTTTTTTTATTATTTTGCCTTTATTTTTTGACTTTTGAAAGCTTCTGAACCCTTCTCAGAACTTGCCATGTCTCGCCCTGGGTTTCTGCAGATTTCCATTTTTTTCTTTAATTTTTTATTCTCTTTTATATTTATAAAATTTTAGCACTTTAACGTTAATGGGTTTTATACTTTAATTAACTTGAGAATTTAGAGAAAAAAATTTGTTGGTGCCTTTGGCTTTTGGCTTGTGATACATGGCATTTTCATTTTGGTAGGGTCCCCAACAATGGTGTATCACTGCCTTGTGATACATGCCATTAACACTTCAAGCATTAGTGCATAGACAATGCTTGGAAAAACTTTTAACATGCCTTACTGGAATACCAGGCCAGCAGTCTCAAGCTCCATCCCCTCATTTCTCCTTCAATCTACAGTCACTGCCATGGTAGATTGTAGGTAGAGATGTCAATTCCTCACCCCCTGGCCCCTCCCCCTCTCTCTTTTTTCTTTTTGTAGAATCATTTTTTTCTTTAAAAAGCTCCAACAGTCTGCCCAAAAATCATAATCTTTCAATTTCAATCCTACTTGTAGTAATATATGTATACAACAACTCTCTCAATAATGTTCAATTTCAATTTTTATTTCTTTTTCAATCTCATAAGAATAATGCTTGGCAGTGTAGTATAATTTTGTTACTAGTGAAAATGTGATCAAGAATTGGTAATTTGGAATCTGTCTTGAGCCAGAAGGTAACTTAGGAACAAGTTAAAAACTTAAAATTGTTTTTTATTTTAACTGGGATTTATTGGCTTTGTTGTTCAACATTGCCCAAAGGCTTCTTTAAATGCAAATGCTTGACAGACCACCAATTTTTATTCAGCCACAACTATTTAGAGAAGGGTTCTTAAGACTGTTGGGAAATTTAGGTGAAAAAAAATAATAATAAAGGGATCTGATCTCCATAATGTTATTTTATTTGTATGTATTTAGATGAAATGGAATTGTTTTTAGCCATGTTTTGCTTATATGCAACACAATAATGTTAGATTTCTTAAGTTACATTACATGTGGCAAAATTATCATTAATCATTGTGTTAAAAACATATCCCATCTTCCAAAAACAACATAATAATGTGTCTCAAAGACATTAATGTTCCAAAAGCCAAAAATAAAAAATTCAACATTAATGAGTGTCAATGATAGAATTGAGAGAATTTCGTTTTAGTTCGTTGTAGCAAAAGAAAAAAACCCCACCATTGCTATGGCAATTTTAGCACTTATTTTTCTAGGCAGTAGTAAGGCTTGATTGAAAGATTTGAGTACTTAGTGGAGTCCAAGTGCTTGGGCTTTAAATCCTTGAGGTTGTTCAAAAATGAAGAAGAGAGATGCGCAGGGCACGGCAATTCTCAAAACTTGCCCCGTATCAAAGTGTAAGAATACTTCAGTGCATGAAGTTTGGGACAAACGTTTGAAAGAGAAACTCTAGTGGTTGTTTTCGATGAAACATTTTCAAACAGAGTCAGAGTTTTACTTGAATGATATTTCTACGTATTGTTGAGATCTTGAAGTTTAAGCAGACATGTGTAAACATCATTGATCCACCTTAGATACTTTGACAAAGATGGAAGGATAAGCAAACAGGAAAGAGCATCATTGTCCCATCATTTAAGGTTGAAACTGGATTTTAAAACCAGAGAAAGAGCCTCAATCTTAAATGTGAACATTTCTTTATTTAGCAAAGAGATCGCACCGAACGTTAAAACATAGAAGGAACAAACGAGAAGCATGTTCGTCTGAAATGCAATACAAAAATACAGACCAATGAACAGTTGAACACGGGAAGCACTATTCTGCCATAAAAGCAAGGATTCTGCAGAACATCATATATAACAAGTCGACAAAATGACAATGATTTATGTACACAAATGTCAGCAATTTTGCCTTCGTCCACTTCAACTTTCATAAGACAGACGTTTCTTTCATATACAAATCTCTATTATGTGTAAGAGAGACAAAGGGCAAAGAATAAAATTCATTAAATAAATGGAAGAATGAAACTGCCTTTCTATATGATGTCAGATTTTTATCTTGGTTTGGTTCCCTGTGTCACTTCTTCACATTGTTACATAGGACCATACTGTGTTCACACATTCCCTTCAATGGATAAAGTTGTTCAATAAATAAAACTTCATCCAGCCTTATATCGTGTCTCAACATGGGATAGACACCTGGCTTGGGTAGACATGTTTTCTCTCTGAACCAAGCTACAGCTTACTGCAATAGTAATTCTTCTTCTTTCTGCAATATTTTTAGCTGCCTTTTCGCATAAACTGTGAAAACAATTGTTGTCACCACTGTTAAAAGGAAACCACCAACATTTAACAAAATCTGTGGAGCTGAAAGGCCGTGCGGCTCCTGTGAAGCATCTGCCAAAGTCTGTATGAGGATCCCACTGCAATAATCAATATCTATGTTAATAAGTTTAGGAGGTATGGAAGTTATATACATTAACTACGCATGTTGGATTAAGCAATATCTATGATAGAAAGCATTATACACAAGAATGGACAGCAGAACATCCTCAAAATCATGAACCTGTAACTACGCAAAAATACATCTCATAGCCACGTGCACATGCAGATATGTTGTAATCAGTGATCATTTGCAAAATAAACACATATACATATGTAAACACAAGCTCAAGATTAAATAAATAAAAAAAAAAAAGAGAGGGAGGAAGGGAGGGAGGGAGAGAGAAAGAGCTTACGTGTATATTGCAACAAAAATTTCTGGAACCATTCCTATCAAAGATCCCAAGATGTAAGGACCATACCGAACATGCGTTGCAACTGCACAGTAATTATATATCATATAGGGGAATGGAGAGATCCTGATTAATGTTACAGCTCTAAATTGATGAAACCAATTTCCTTCACCAGCTGCCCTAAGAATGGCAGCTTTCTTAGGATATTTATCTAACCAGCCCTACATAAAAATGGAAAAAGTTGAATATTATTGCAAAACACAGCAATAGCACACATACCCACCCCACACACTGACAGAGTCAGAGAAGGAGAGAGGATTCATTGAATAAATAAATCTTAGGATAAGAAACGCACTTGAATTCTGTGAAGGAAAAGAGACCCAATAAAGAATGGAAGTGATACGCCCGCAGCGGCTGCAGATATGATTAACAGAAATCCAAAACCATAACCAAATGTCATCCCTGCCACCCACATAGATGGTGTAGACGGTAGAAGTATTGTGGGGAATAATGCCACAGAAGCAAAGACTAGAACTGCCAGCATTGGAGTACTAAAGGTTGTCATCTCCCAATTTATTATAGGCATTAGCTCCTGCAGTCATCATGTCATCAGTGAAGTCCAGTTAGAATGTGCAAAGTTATCCTACACGAGATAAATGAACAAAGTCCACTGGTCTCCGGAAGGAAATCATGTTTTAACCTTAAGTTCCGCATGAAGATCGCGGAAAAGAAACACAAAATATCACTAACATCAACAACTTTGGGTGAAACTGCACCTCAAAAATGAATCAAACCTAAGTGGCCATTAGATATATTTCATAACTTGGTTGGAAGAATGAGGATGCATGGATAGCAGTTACACATCTTAGACACATATCCTAGGAAATGAAAAGTTAACGCTTACTCCAGTATAGAATATAGATTAGTTGACCAACAGTGCTAGTTTTCGACTAAAACCATAAAACACAAATCAATTATTCTCAATTTCTCGAAGCACAAACTATTCCCATATAAGGAATCACTAGCATGCTTTGTTGACATTACGAAGCTAAAGAAGAAAATGCACATAGAAAGTGTACTGTTGCGGCAGGAAGGAATGTTAGGGATACATATGGATAGACAGAATCAAACGATAATACAGATCTTTGTCAGCAAGCAGTGAAATATATAAAATGAAATTCAAAGATAATAACATAAGCTGGATTGGGAACATGCCATTAGGAAAAGAGTTCCCTGCATATAATCATCATGTAGCCTGATGAATTTTTCTAACTTAAAAGATAAAAGCATGAACATTCAACCTTGACAATGTACACATTCTCACTAAATATCGTGCTTAATCAATAATAATATCAACTGAACCAATGGAGAAGGTTTCAGCCCATTTTAAGAACAAATCAGCAATGACCGCCAAAACATATAATGATAAAAAACACGATTATTCATCAGACCATATGCAGAAATTACAGAACAATATCATATCCAACAAATGTACAAGAACCACTAACCCCATACTAACCCTTAAAGACATTGCAATTAGCAAATTGAAAAAAGGGTGCAAAACCCAAGTTGAGAAAAGGGAAAGAAACTCATCCTCGATTCCAATCGACAGTTTAATACCATGCAATCACTAAAACCCACAAAATAAAAAAAAAAAAACCCAAAATTCAACCACGAATAAAAAAAATTCAACAAAGGCATGAAATTGAGGGGAAAAAAGAACCAACCTTGTCCATGAAAAATGGGCCAATCCATTTGAGGAAAACAGCAGCCAATAACCCTATAAAGGTAAATAAAATTCCCAATTTGATCCAATACCAAGTAGACCTTCTCCATATAGAAGAAAAAGCTGTCTCCTTTAACAACAAATCTCTCTCTTCTGCTTCACATTCTTCTAATAATCTCTGACTCAAGTTCTCCCCTTTGCCGTAAACATCATCATCATCATCACCCTCAACTCTTAGGTTCAGCTCTGGTACCACCTCTACTCCCTCATCATTATTATTATCATCATAAAAAGTCATTGGATTTCAGAAAAAGAACCCTAATTTCCTGTTTGGTTCCTGAGAATATTAGAGAAGGAAAATGTGAGGGAGGGGTGATAGATGAGAAGAGAAGGTCAAGAAGGAATTGGTAGATGAATTGAAAGCAAAGAAGAGAATCAATTTAGTAAAGGAGAAGAAATGTCTGTTCTTTGGTTTTTGATTAATTTAAAAAACCCAAATATTATTTATTTTCTTTCTCATTGGTCAATTTGGGAATTTTTCTGTTGTTAAGGTACTGAAAATTACTATGCTACCATTGGAAGCAACGGTGTCGTTTAAAAGTTTAGGACACGCGGCGAAATGATGTTGCTTGGACTAACAGGTTTGGTACACGTTGATGACACTGAGGAACTGAGTGTTTCAGTGAGTTTGGTCTTGAGATGTCAACACGGGAATTGTCTCACTCACTCTACGAATGTATCGGTTCGTTTGATTTTTCATTGAAATATTCAAAATGGGAATTATATTATATTATTTTTTAAATTAAACTAACATTTTTAATTTAAAAAATTAATACATCAAAATTAATTTAATCAATTTAGTTAATTTTTTAATTAATCAAATAACAAAATATATTATATTAAATTTTATTTTAAAATTTTATTTTTCATATATAAAATAAATTAAATAAAATTAAGGATGGCATCGGATCGGGTTCGGGACAGGTTTTACTCGTCACGAACCCGATCCGACTTTATGCTTTAACATACCCGAATCTGATCCTACCCGATTTTTTAATACCCGATTCGATACTATGTAAATCGTACCTGATCCGATCCGAAATTAATAAAATATTATTTTTTAAAATATAAAATATTATTTTTTAAATATAAATATTTAAAAATATCATTATATAAATATATATAAATAATTAATTAATTAATTAATAATTTTTTTATATAATATCAGATCGGGTCAGGTCGAGTTTTAGGCATACCCGACCCGACCCCGATTATTCTCTAACTATACCCGACCCGATCCGAAAATCGAAATTCAAAAAAAAAAAAATCCGACCCTATGAGATCGGGTCGGGTCGGAACCCGTCGAGGACGGGGTTCATTGCCATCCCTAAATAAAATTATCTAATAAAAACATTCAAATATTAAAATATTAAATTAAAAATTTTAGAACTTAAAATAAAATAAACAATTTCATATATTTTTATTTTTAATTATATATATATTTTATAATATTTTGATTAATTTTAGTTAATTTGATTAATTCAATTTTTTAATTGAATTAAATAAAAAAATTTTAAAAAATTTAAATATTAATCAAAATTAATTAATTAATTAAATTAAATCAATTCAACCCATTTATTTGATTAAAACCGAAAAAACCCGTGACACACTCCATTCCTTTTTTTTCCCTTTAAAATGTGGTTAAAAGCTAGAGGCCAAAAACCAATTCGAGGACAAATGGAAAAAGGACTTGTTCTAACAGTGACATTATGGTGAGCCATATTCGGAGGACGGTGCAATTACAAGTGGACACCTGTGACGGCAAGAACCGGCTGCCCACAATAGGATAATTCTTCTCCTATGATTGAATAATTGTAGACAAACCACTATGACAGCATAGCCTTATCTGACAGATTGGCATCAGAACTGGGCAACTGGCTATTGCAGTAAGCCTTCTATGAGAGCCAAAAGCTGAAGGGAAAAATTAAAACCCAATTGGACACTGATTCATGTATGTCGGCAAAGCACTTTTAGATGTAATCAGTTTCTTTCCAGTAAATTTAAGCCATTCAACTATCCTGGCAAGCTGCAAAGGCCCTAATGTTAAAATTTGTTGGCTTCTGGTCAATTCTATTTGGATAATTGAATTTGTTCCATTACCAAAGAAACAGGAAAACCTGCTACTGATAAACTGAATACGACCAAAAGAAGCTAACGAGAGCTGCCATTGCTTGTGTATATCAAAAATAGAGGGAAAGGAATTGTGGGCTGTTTAAGCATATGGCAGAGGGTCCAGCACAAGTAATGAACCTTATCAAGGATGCTGTCAGGAGGAGATTATATGATTTAAGTCAAATTACTGCAGATATAGTTAGCAAAGATTCGTGTGATACTTCGAATCTTAATGCTGCTATCTTAGAATAAGTTCTTATTGAATGATATTCTTTGATTCTCTGTAAAGATTATGGAACTCTTTTATTGTAGGAGAATTCTCTAAATAAAAAAAAAAAAAAGAAACCTTACTGTTGTTTATACTTATATAGTCGTGGTTTGTACAAATGTTTGATTTTTGAAATTCTTACTGCTTTATATGTTTTTTTAAGAAAAACGAATTTGAACGCCATATTTGAATTTCATGTAAATTGTTGAATCACTACTTTTAATATTATTTTCCTTAGTTTTTCGGGTTTTCTTTTTTTTTTTTTTATGTTTTTCAAGATTTGAAGGGTTTTAGTTAAGATCTGTCCACCCATATTTAAAAAACCAAACGAAATAAAGACAAAATCAAAGAACAAGATTTTCTCCGTAATTAGAAGTAATCTAGTGATTAATAGTATAATAGTATAGGGATTGGATTATTAATTGTTCTTTCCTTTTCGCCTTTGCGCCGGCACAGATGTCAGTGTTTCGTACGCTACTTTCCAATACGGTTTTAAGAACACAGAAAAGGGCAAATGGCCTGAAAAACACTTTCATTTTTGAAAAGGAAAAAAAAAAATCCATACATAAAAACAAACATGAGTTCAACCACTGGTCAGTTCTTGATCCAGCGCCCACGATTCAATCATGTTTACTTGCAAAACAATAGCTTTCATTTACCAAAACAAGTTCTGTTCCCAGTTTTGCCACTAATTTCCAATTTTCCTGGTCCTGTCAGCTCCATTTCTCAGTGTAAGTTTTCTTCTTGTTGACCACTAATTCTTTTTTTTTTTTTTATCATTTAATCTTCTGGGTTTCTGGGTTGGGGTTTAAAAGCCTTTCCTTTTCATTATTTGTGTGCGTGTCTGGGTTCTTTTTTGCAGTTGGGAGCTCTGAAATTTTGGTGTGTAAATGTGCATCACAAAAGTTTTCAGGTTCTTTTGAAACGGATCCAGATCAGGAATATGGCCCTGAACAAAATCAGGTACTCATGTTTTTGTATATAATAGTGTTGAAAAAACTGAGCTAAACTGAACTTCCTTACGGTTGGATAGTTATGTTTGGTTCAAAGAGTAATCTCGCTTTTCTATTTGCTATAATATTACTATATGTTACCTAATACTCAAAGGTCAAAACTTTATAAAGGGGGTTTGATACCCAAATCCTAAATTTGATAACTTTTATCCTTTTATATTTAAGTATGGGTTTTCTTTAAAACGGTGCTTGAAGTTAAAAAGTTGTGATGTATTTCCTTGTAGACATTGCCATTATCAATTAATTTGGGGCAAAATTGATAGTAGTTCTTATGTATGTCATTTCAGATGGTTAAACAAAAGAAGGCTTCTATATTGGAGATTTTGAAGCAATCAAATTCCATCCTGCCTCATGTAGTCCTTGCTAGTACGATTTTGGCTCTTGTCTATCCGCCGTCGTTCACATGGTTTACCAGCAGGTCATTTTTTAGCTGATTCTTTCTATAAATTTGTTGTCAACACTACTCATTTTCACGCTTTTGTTTTTAATGACAAATAGATTGCAAACTGCGAGTTTTCATGCTCAGTTTAAGCCATTCCTTTCAAATCAGGATTGGTTCATTTATTCCTTTTTTCTTATTTATATGTAGGATCCCTTACAACCTTTTCTTTTTAAATGCTATTTAAATTAGGGGCAACTTTTGAGGCCAGAACCTAAAGCAAGTGATAAACCAATACAGTTTATGCAACAATAAAAGTTCCACTATATGATGGAGGACTGACCTTTGGTTATGCTTTTGTTATTTGATCTCTTTCTAGGTACTATGCCCCTGCATTAGGATTTTTGATGTTTGCTGTGGGGGTTAATTCCAGTGAGAAGGATTTTATTGAAGCATTCAAAAGGCCAGATGCTATTTTTGCTGGGTATGTTGGTCAATTTGTTGTGAAGCCTCTACTTGGATATATTTTTGGAATGATTGCTGTGACAGTGTTTGGTCTTCCTACTCCTTTAGGTGGGTGTATGTTTGTCTTTGTGGTCAATGCTACCAAAGATTAGTTCTGTGTATCTTGCCTTCAAATGGAGAATCTATGCTGACAGAATGTGGATCAATGGATCAGGTGCAGGGATTATGTTGGTATCCTGTGTCAGTGGTGCCCAGCTCTCAAATTATGCTACCTTTCTGACAGATCCACCACTAGCTCCCTTAAGCATTGTTATGACATCATTATCTACTGCCACTGCTGTGTTTGTTACACCAATGTTGTCTCTCCTGCTTATTGGAAAAAGACTGCCTGTTGATGTCATGGGAATGGTCTCTAGCATTCTGCAGATTGTTATTGCACCGATTGCAGCAGGGTTGCTTCTGAATCGGTGATACTCTAACCCCGGATAAGTATGTAAACTTGATGATATCTTTCAGGAAGTTCTTATCCAACTAATGTGTCTGCAGGTTGTTCCCTCATCTTTGTGAAGCCATCAGGCCATTTTTGCCTTCGCTTTCTGTACTTGATACAGCTTTCTGTGTTGGAGCGCCACTTGCTATCAACATTAATTCGGTTTTGTCTCCTTTTGGTTTAACTGTTTCATTGCTTGTTGTTGCATTCCATTTATCAGCGTTCATTGCTGGTTATTTCCTTAGTGGTTCTGTCTTCCATAAGGCACCTGATGTGAAAGCATTGCAAAGAACTCTATCCTTCGAGACAGGTGAGAACCTTTTCTTCTTTTCCCTTTTGTTGTTAGTTTGCAAATATTACAGATGTTTCCTTTTGCAGGAATGCAAAGCAGTCTTCTGGCACTTGCACTTGCTAATAGGTTCTTCCAAGATCCACTTGTCGGTGTGCCTCCAGCTCTCTCTGTAAGTCAATTTGTATCTTTTCCCTTTGTTGTTTCTGATTACCCATTCGAAAAGGAATGAAAAGCTTAAGGTAACTTTTCTTCCAATGTCGATTGAAAATGAGTACTTTACATAAGAGACTGTTAAAAGGGCCTTTTTTTTGCATCTAAAGATGGAAGTATTTGCTTTTGCTAGTGTGGTTTCTGATATGTTGATGCCTTATTCATAATGATGAACAAACTTGTTTCAATTCTCTACATTCCATATCCCACATCTTTGCAACGTTTTTCTTCTTATTTCAAAGTTCCAAATAGTTAGTTCTGTTGAAGACGAATTGCTTGTAACTGAATCCTTAATCATCTATTTTTTGGGATTTGCAGACAGTAATCATGTCTTTGATGGGCTTCTCTCTGGTCATGCTTTGGGCAAAGAAAAATGAATAATCAGAAGAGTTCATTTGGCAATGATTTGTCAATCCTTTGTCACATGATGCATAATTTTTTTCTGCAAACAAGTTGAAAAATGGGATCATTGTAGGGCAGATGTAGGGCACCCCCTGAATCCCTGATCATCTGCAGAGAATAGATTTCCTTCCTGACAAGTAGAGAATTTGAAATTTTCCCTTGTTTCTTTAATGTTGTGCTGAATCATATTTATACAAAGGGCATTGATAACTTAATAGGTGATTTGGGGTACCATGCTCCTCGCTTAGGTCATTAAGGAGTGATTACCAAGTAATAGACAGCATGGTTCCCCAGAGCTGATTACAACAACAGCCATAATATTATCTTTTCCAGAAGGCTAAAGGGTGTAAAAAGTCCCTAAATTATAATTAAAAAATTATCTGAGCTTTTATTTTTTTATTGCAATTAATTAATTTTTTCAATATTTATTTGTTTCAAATTAAACCCTTATTTGGATGGAAAATTTAATACCATTATATTTTTTTTCAATCAAGATAAAATTTCATGTGATATATAAAATTTATGATGCGACATAATTAATATACATATAAATTAAATAAAATAATTTTCTCTATTTTCTCTCTCTTTCTAAGATCTTTTTAAGGGTTTAATTGAGATATTGATTTAATTATATCATATGATTAAACTTTATCTAATTAAGGGTTCAATTGATTTAAAAAAAAAATGATTGATTACAATAAAATATTAAAAATTTAAATGATTATTGAATTATAATTTAAATTAAGAATTTTTTATCCTTTAGCCTTTACAGGAAGGACTTGGCAGGCTGGAGGCTTCCCATTGGTGACGGTAGCATATTTTCACCAGGGAAAAACATTGTACTATCTAAACGGAGAGCATTTTTCTCTCATTCTTGTTTGGGAAAGACTAGAAGCAGCCTGAGAGTCAAATGTTATCATGTTTTGAGCTGTGTCTATAATAAAAAAGCCTCTCCTTTGCTGTGTCTGGTCAGTTTGTCAACAGACTGGTTTGACTTGAGCCTCTTTTGTTAGAGTTGAATTACAAATTCTTAAAAGGAAAAAAAAAAAAAAGACTCAGTTAACATGTGACAGCTATTGTCAATATCTTTATCTTGCTTTCTGAGTTATTTTTGTTCTGTAATATGATTTTCTTGTCTAACTATAATTTCTGATTTGACTGATGTGCTACATTAACTTGAGATTTCTTTAAAGAATGTTAAATTGAAATCATGAGCTTTTGACAAAAAAAGCAATTCAAGGACAATAAGGAGAGACAAAGATGCCAGATCAAGAAAACAATGGGTGTTGAGCAAATAAGGATGCTAAAGGGCTTAAGGCCTTACGTTTGAAGCAGTGTCCCCAAAGATTTAAACTAAAGGATCTATGAATGATGGTTGGGTGGTGAGCCTTTGTTGGTTGGAGGGAGCCTTTATGTGTATTATGAATCATCTTATTGGTGCAGTTGATACCAACAAAATTGAAATTTTCCAGAAACACAGCCCCTTGAAGCTCCCACCACCCAATTAAAAAGAAAAAACAAAAAACAAAACAGCTGTTTGGAATGGGTTTATTGACTGATATTTCTTTCTTTTAATCAGTAAATCCTCGTTCAAAGATCAATAACCCAAATGCTTTCCTTCCCCCTCTAATGTATGATCAGCAAACTTTCCACTATCAGAGTAAGCTTAATTTCTATGCCAAAAGCAATCTGCGTGAATCGAAAATTGTGGTCAAACCATTCTGATGCTACTCTCAATAACAATTTCATGGCCAAAGAATAGGTTTAAATGATGATCATATGAAACTGATACGTATTCAGAAGAATTTGCTTCTTAAATTTGGATTGATCCCATGAAGGGAAACGTTCATGGAACTGCATTACTCGTTCCATCTACCAAATCAACCTAACCTGTAGAAACAAATAACTAAAATCTCTGACTTTATTATCTGACATGATTCCTTGCTGAAAAAGGCAAACTAGTATAAACAGACTTTTGCTGAAACATTGAAATTCCATCATTTATCTTAATTAGGAGTTCAGGCAAAACATGATGCTACAAAATTCCATATTGCTAACATACATCATAAAGAAAAGGGAATATATATATATATATATATATATATATAATATATAGAAGGGTGCAGATGATTTTTTCTTAAACTTCGTCAGTGTTTTTGCAGGAGAGCCAATAGGGTGCTGGAAAAGCGATCCAAATGAGGAAACTTCTTCTGAAACTCAGACATTAAGGCTAAGTTTTCTTGATGGAGAAGATTTGCTTTCTTCCTTAACTTTTCATTCTCTTCAATAATACTTTGGTTCTCCAAGTAGAGCTTCAAGTTCATTAGTTCCATGTCTTTCTCCAAATTTTCTTCGCATCGTTTCCTGCATATGTAAAAATTTGTTTGCATTAACAGGAAACATCAAACATATACGCACACAACTCTCAAAAATTAGTAGGTGAAACATATGTATACCTGGAAAGCCTGTAAATTTGAACTTTAGATTGTTTTGGTCTATGCCTTCTCTTTGAATTAGAAGCATAGATGGGATGAGATGGGCTCCAAGCCATGTTGTTACACATCCTTTTATGATTTCTTTATATTTGGAGTAGTAGAAACGATAAAATGAATGAAAACAAGGTCATAAAGAAGATGGTGATGGTGGAAAAGGAATGAGGGGAACTTGAGAGAAAGGAGGGATATAAGCTCCTATTTATAAATATAGTTGGGCTGTGGTGTTCGTGGTCACTTTCACCATGTGGTGGGCTGGTGCCTATGTAATGTAAATGAGAGAAAGGGAGAAAAGAGGGATTTCTCCTCAGTTGTAATGATGGCAAGTGGACTCATGATTGCAAAGATAAGCAACCCAAATATTGATCAATGAACAAGAAAAACCCCATGGCAAGGTCTATGCCTCCTCGTCCCTCTCCAGCGTCAACTCCACTGATAACTTTTGTTACGATGTAAAACAAAGTTAAAACTCTATCATTCTGCCAATTGCAAGTAGTTTTATTAGCTATGGAAGTGTTGATAAGTAGAGTACTACTAGTTTTGTATATTTGGATTGCAAATATTTGCAGTGAAAGTCAGGTTGGATATGGTGTAGATGGTTAAGCTAATTACAAGTGGCTTCATGGCATCACCTTGCTGCCGTAGGGACCCAGCTTGAGAATTGTTAAAGCTAATGGGTTAGAGGTTTTTGTGGACCATTAGAAGGAGGAAGGTGGAATGGCATCTTCAATTTCGTGCGTCCTCTCCCACTTTTTATTTTCTCATGATACTTGGTTTGAACTTTGAACGCAGATATCTAAGAGTCAAACCTCATATTGAAGGCCTGATAAAAGAAAACCCCCCATCACCTTTTAATTTTCTGATCAACATTTCATGACAGATGATAATGATGATAATATTTCTGTGTATGGATTTAGGTATTCATACAATTAACAATACCTAGGGATGATTTGGTGTATTTCCTTTTTTATGTGATGGTTTGGTAGAATTACAAGCATATAGTGATGGATATAGTTGAGACTGCTTGAGAATGTTATAAATATATATAGTTACAATGAAATAGGAAGAGGGTTGTCATTCTCTTATACAATGCCTTGGTAGACTTTCTGCTATTTGGCAATTATTATCACATTAACCGACCACTCTTGAGATTTATGATCAAGATCGATGACACATCGATTCTTTTGACTTATGCTGCTGCTTAATCATATATAGTTGGTGAATTCAGCTTGCTATATATATATATATTAGCAAATCAGTCTTCTTCACATGTGCTCATTTGCAACTCATTGATAGATAATCAAAGACCCACTAACCAATGGATCTCACCAGAAATTAATTTTCATTTGGTGAAAAACCCCAAGGAGAGATTGCATCATTCCCCTATTGTTATATGTTTTTAGGTAGGGAAATGGATGGAAAAACCCATTCACTTGCATTACACGTGTCACTGAAACTAGTCTATATAAATTGAAATGGAAATGGAAATGGAAGTATATTGGATTACAAGTATTGGGAGAAAGAGTCACAATGATTAAATTTTGAACTATTAGAAGGTTGAGAGGCAAGTGAAGTGATGAGAGTACTAGACATACTCAGAACTTCACTTATATCTTCTTTTACTACAAGTACCAAACATGGTGATGAATGTGAGGCAACAGATATTTCAGGATCAGATTCAGATATAATAGTCAACAATAAAATGAATGTGCATTATCTTCCTTCTTTTCTTCTCTTATTATTCTTCTTCCTCTTCAAGTGCCCTGCCTGAAAGATTGTACACTCCATTGTTTTTGACGTGTTAGATCTCACACATGAATCAATCATGGTGGCCGCCTATTAATCCCACGTATATGGGTCCAGCCTCTCGCCTTCCATCCTCATTCATCATCCATTCTCATCAAGTGCGTGTCAAATCCATCCAAAACAGAAACACTTGCACACCCCAACTCTCTCTCTCTCTCTCTCTCTGCTGTTGCACTGCAATCGATTGCACTCTTCCATATTGGTGCATGCACATTCATCATCATCTCTTCAAGCCAAGCCACATTATCATCTAACATCATGGCCATTTTGATACTTAAACATTTTGGGGTGCGTCTTTTTTGTCAACTTGTATATTATGATATATTCTTGTGAAAAATGTTATGTAATCCTTTCGTCTACATACGCTATGCGTTCGTCAGATCAGTGGCTTCAACAAAGGGATATCAAGGTATATGTAAAACTATTTTTGTTTGATGGTTAAAATCTTCTTCTGACTGAAAAATCAGATGAAAAGATTTTGTTGTATCAGCATCATATACACCTGATATAGGAGGTTGACAGGGAAGAAGGAGGGATACGTAATGATGGCTATCTGCCTACGTAATCTCCATTATCAGATCTCTCCTGCATAAGGGTCAGGAACAATAGAGATTGGTATTTACAAAGCACAAGCACATCTAAATTTGATAATGACAAATTATGGAGATGCTGAAAACTTGAATGTTTTGCCCAAATTATTGCTCTCAACTTTTGTAATTGCATTGCTTCAGTCAAAGAAAACTGGATTGCTATTATTATGCGCTTTCCCTGATATTTTTAAAAGAAGAATTAATAGAAACTAGAAACTATTGATATCCAATTCAAAGACACCAAAGATATAAATAAAATTGAGGAAATATACATAGTTTCTTAGGAGTTGCAAACTTGAATTTGAGATTACTTCATTTCATTTTGTATCGAGGTTAATTTTAATCGAAATTTTATTGAAATTTAATTTTCAACTCTATTAAATATTTTTTTTAGGTGACTCAAAAATTAATTGAGTTAAATTTAAGACTTCAATATTTTCATTTTTACTTAGTAAAAATATGAATACAATAAATTGGTTTTTTTTTTTTTTTTTCTCACGTAGTTGAAGAATGTTTCCCTTTTGAACTCAAGAAAAAAAGAAAAAAAGAAAAAAAAAAAAGAAAGTTCAACTTTTTAATATCCCAAAAGTATGGGCCGCCAAAAACCTCTGGATCTGGTGAGTGGGCTCATTTTGAATTCTTAGGTGGGCTGGGCCTCTCATTGGCCCACCATTACGCTTGCGAAATCTAAACATGAACGTGTGATCATTTTTCTATCCCTCTATTTCCAAAATGGTTGGGAGTTGAAAACAACTCCATTTTTTTTAGAGCCTAGGTCCTTGAGATTTGGCTTTTTATGAAACTTGGTTAAAAAGAAACGATGAATTTGTTGCATATCGAAATTGATAATAGGTTTTCCACTAAAAGATAGTAATAAATTTATTTTTATTTTTTATTTAGTATGTATAAAATATAAAAATTATTATATTTTAATTTGTATTGATATATTGAATATAAAATATATTTATAATTTTTTAATAAAATTTTAAATTATATTTTTTATATTAGTTTAATATATTATGTTTAAAATTATTCTATTCAAAAGATTCTGTCGATGAAAGAGAGTAAAAAGATTGAACCCATCTCTGAGGGGGAGTTTTAAATACATCTTAGTTTTTGTTCTATACACATTCTTTTTTTTTTTTTTTAAGTTTTTGTAAGTAAAATTATTTAAATATCAGTCTTTACAAATTTTCGGATATTCACTATTTTGAAAAAATCATACTTCTCAAAACGAAAAATCATAACACTTCTCAAAAATACAATTAAAAAAGTGAAATTTTATAAAAAAAATTACAAATGAAATATTAAAAAAGTATTTATAAAATATTGTAATAAAAATTATAATTAAAATAATAATTTTTAAAATTAATAAAAAATTTTTTTTTACTATTTTGACTTCAAAATGCACGTCTTTGAATATAACAATTATATGTTTATTAAGATTTTTTATGACATTTCAAATGGTAGAAATTTTTTTTTTAAATCACTATTCTCGTGTCTTTGGCCTCATACAAATTTAAGAATTAGTGAAAAAAATATTAAAAGAATTAAAACTAATTATAAATTGAATATTTTTTTATTGACATTGCATGCTTATGAACAAAGAGACAATAATATAATTGAATACTACATAATTTTATCAAAATCTAATATGCTAGTTAGATAAAATTGTCATGATAAGTAGATAATGATATTTTTTTCAAAAAATTTAGTTTAATTAAAATTATTATAAAATTTTAATAATCAATAAAAATATTTATTATTCATTCTTTAATTGTTAGCTTTTTAGATTAGATGGTGATTCAATAATGGATGAATTTGACCTCTTCAAATTTTTTTAAAACTAAATTTTAATATAATTGAATGAAAATTAAAACTAATATAAAAATATGATACAAATAATAATAAATTGATGAATTATAAGCAAATATAAAAATATAATCATAATAAATAGATAAGGATAGAAAAATAAAATACAATAATTTATAAAAGTTCAATACTTTTTACAAGGTACTTACATTCTCTCTCTTAGTTATCACACCAATATTTTAATCCACAAATCTTGACTTGATAATATAACTCTATCTTTTTCTTTCTAAAGCTTAAGATATAAGCATCTACTATTTCACAATCAAAATGATACCTCACATTTTGTTTACATAACTCAAATAATTTTTACAAACTAAAATTTCTATCAAGGTTGAGTGTTTACTTAATAAAGTACAAAAAAATGATAAATGAAACATAGTAATATTTTGAATACAATAAATACAAAAGGATATTGAATTTAAATTATAAAACTCTTGATTTTTTTTAGAGAAAAAATATGACTTATTTGATCTTACTATTTTGATTCATCAACCTTTTAATGTATTGTAGTGTCCTATATATAGAAAAATTAAACAACTAGCCGTTAGGGATGGTTTGGAAGAAAAATACCTATCGAAAGCTTGAAAAACTAGTCATTATATACATCTCTAAGCAGACTCGATCGATTGCTTTTGATAGAAGATCGATGATGCGCCTTACTCAATTGATCCCTTTTAGTGTTTTTCAAATCCATTTTGTTTTTTATAAGAAAAATCAATCGATCCATAACAAGAGGGGATCAATTGGTTTAGCCAATAGATCGATTCTGTAATCCAAGGAATCAATCCGATCAAGTTGAGCAGTGGTATATGTTTTACACTCTACTCATTAATTTAATCATATATTAAGTAATACAATTCCAAATAAAAAATTATTTGAAGATTTAGAAACTATATTTAAAAAGTTTTTTATCCATATAAAATTTATCACTTAATTCTTTGTATACAAATTATAGTGAATTTTTAAATCTATCATTTGTGTAGTTTTTAAACAGCTGTAATGTATCTTGCAAAAATTCAAAATATTTTTTTAGAAAATTTAGATTTAGATATTGTTTGATCAATTATAAAGTAGACTTAAAGAGCTTTCTAACCATATAAAATTCAAGTATTAAAATTTTATGAATTAATACAAAAAATAAAATAATTTCAATATTAAAAAATTTTGTTATTGTAAAATAACTTTCTTAAATTAATCTATTTTTCAAAACTAATATTATTAAAATTGTATTGAGTTTAAAATGAATAAGTTTACTTTAAAAATAATAATTAAACTTTTATTTAAACTTAAATAAATAATATTTAAAGATAGTTTTGATTTGAAAAATAAGAAAACATAAGAAATATTTGTTTAAATTTTAAAAATTATATTATTTATTTAGTACCAAAATAATAAAACTTAAAAATATGTATTAAATAAATATTTTTTAAAATTTTAATCAAACTTATTAACTTAATATTTTATCATTTTAAAATAAGAATCAATTTAAGACTAACATTAATAATAACTTTTTTCATTACACATATTTATAAATAATTTTAATAAATTTTTTTTGTAATTTCTCATAAAATTTCACTCTAAAAATATTTTTTTGAGAAGTGTTATAATTTTTCAAAAATGTATTTTTTAAAAGTATTATATTTCTCAAAAAAATATATCTTTGAAAAGTGTTATAATTTTTTATAAATTTATTTATGAGAAATTATAAAATTTATAAAAAATTTCTAATAATTCCATTTATAAAAAATTTTAAAAAATAAAGTGCATAGAATAAAAAAAAGAATGCAAATAGAATTTCCTGTTCCTAAGTGCAATTTATTCGACAACTTCTAAAATTCCTTAAACGCTCTTCTTCAAAAGAGGTGGACCCGCATACCAAAAAAATCAGGATAAAATCAGACAGCTCAGATTTGGACTCCCATAAAAAAAAAAAAAAACTGTGTACCTTTGCCACGCCGACAAAAAACCGTGGGTGCCGTACAAACAAAAGCAACTTCCCCCTCCCCCAAAAAAGAAAAACATTAAAGTTAAAAACCGAAGCGAAGGGCTCCGTTTGGTTTGGATTTTAGATTTTTCGAGTTTTCAGTTTCTTTTTCGCTTTCCCTTCTGTTGTTGTTCCTGTTTTTTTTCCACCCAAATAATCAGGATTTTATGCTGTTCCTTTAAATTATTTATTTTCTTTCTTTTTCATTTCCTTTCTCTTCTATCAAATTCAGGGCTCGAAAAATATCTTTTATCATTGTCTGCGGATTTCCTGGGTTTTTTTTTTTCCTCATCGATCGATACCGACATAAAAAAGAATATAAGGAGAAACAAATAACCTTGACTATCGAATTAACGAGGTATGTATGTTTTACAGAGTTTTTTTTTTTCTGGTTTTTTGCCCTTTTTATATTATTTGACGCGTAAACCGTTCGATTTATTCCGATGGACGGCTGCGATTAATTATAAATAGAGATTTTTACGTGTTAATTTAGGAGATGGATTGGAATTTTATCTGGATTCTTCCAGAACGCTCCTTATTCTCGGTGGAGCTCGGGTTTAAGTGGCTGCTTGAAAGACGAAATTACCCTCATTTCTATTTGCACTAGATTAAGTATTCTAGGGATCTGTTTGTACTTTTCATATATTACTTTTACAAGTTCCATTCTGGTTCCATTCTTGTTGCCCCCGAGTTTGAGAAGGCTACGCAATTTGTTAACATGACAAAAGTACCCTTGATAGGTCGGTATAGCCAGCTATACAGAACATGCGGGTAGAGGGTATATTCGATAATATAAAAATTAAAATCACATTCTTATTAGGATTGGGAAAATAATCAAAATCTATATATTTTGATTGTAAAGCTTGCTGGGGTAATTCAACTTTGACCTATCTGATTTTCCGTGAAGATCAAGAAGAGAAAAACCCTTAAACAAAACCTTAATCCTGTTTTCTTGTCTTTGATTGTAGAAATCTAAGCAAACACTCAGAGAACAAGAAAAGAAACCATGGGTTCTGAGCAGAATGAAGGAACCAGCTTTCCACCGTCCGAGCCGAAGCTTTGCGCCAACGGGTGTGGGTTTTTTGGCACGGCGGCGAATATGAACCTCTGCTCCAAGTGTTATCGGGACCTCCGGGCTGGGGAGGAGCAAGCTGCTAAAGCGAAAGCTGCCATGGAGAAATCCCTCAGCGTCAAAACGAAGCAGAAGGGTGTCGTTGTGGAGACGTTTAAACCTGCTGAGGAGCTGCCTCGTGTGGGTTCCTCATCAACGGCGGTTAAGCAACCGGCTGTTGTTATCGCTGGTGATAAACAGGCGGAACCAAAGGTGGCGAACAGGTGCTTTATCTGCAGAAAGAAGGTTGGATTGACGGGGTTTAAGTGCAGGTGTGGGAGTACATTCTGTGGGGAGCACCGGTACCCGGAAAAACACGAGTGCTCCTTTGATTTCAAGGGTGCTGGACGTGATGCGATTGCCAAGGCAAATCCTGTTGTTAAAGCTGACAAGGTGGAAAGGTTCTGAAAGCTGGGGGCTTGGAGGCACTTTGCGTGAGTTGTGTTCTTCAATGGGTTTGCCTTTTCTTTCTTGCCCTCTCGAGTTTTTGAGGGTTCTATTAGATTTAGGGCCAGTGGAAAATTGCGGGGTGTTTTAATTTTCTTGCTAGTGTTTTGTGGGGGTTGGAATTGGACAGTATTGGGGCGGCCTAGTTTGATTCCATAATAAAATGGATCAATGAACGTTTAGCTTTCAGTTTACTTTGAATGTTTCTGGCTTGATCTTCATTATATCCATATTTATTAGGTATATATAATTTTCATGCTATGAGATTGTAATTCTCATGAACTTCTTTTATTCCTTCATATTCTGGTTTCCCACCATGCTTGTTCTCTGGTTACAACACAATGTGCCTTATGGAAAGATACCTGTTGTCCACCACTCTTCAGGATGCTGTTTCTTTTACATTCAAAATCCCCAGTTTTACCTCATTTATGATCCATGATTCTTTTCAATGTCCTCTATTACTTCCCTTCTAAATCTAGTTATTGGTTCATAGAGGCTGTTGTACAAAGTGCATCATCCCCTCTGTTATTGTTCCGTGCTTTTCTGTTTCTTTATTGGACCTGCACTTTGATTGTGTCTATGGTTAACCTCATGATTCAGAAAGCTTCTGAAATTTTTAGCCCAGATAATATTTCTATGTGATTATTGGAATGGAATCGGAGTCCCTTTGTTGGAGAAGGCAGCATTGATGGCATGAATCTCCTATTTCACGTTGTTACATCTTTGCATTGATGGCATGCGTCTTCAAGTAAACTGTCATTGCTTTGCTGCTCCCACCTCAACCGAATTCATCAAGATTTTGAGCCCCTAGCTATGATAGGACTTTTTCAGAATGACCAAACCATGGAATCAGTTTGGTCAAAAACAAATTTAATTTTGCTATAATAATTTGAAAAAAATTTAATCTATAAACTTTTTGGATGTAATATATAGTTACAAAATTTTTGAATTATTGTTGATGTAGTAGAGCAGTTTTTTAATTAGTTGGATAATAAATTCCCGTTGAAAGATTTTCATTTATTCGGGCAATGACGTTGTTGAGCATATATCATACCGAGACGCTTGCAAGTAGTTGTTCCTCCTTAATTTAGGGAATGATAATTTGAAAAACAGGTAAGCAAAACAGAGAAACACAATTAATGGGGTTGTAACTTTTGAATGCGACAAATAATTATTAGTATTAATAATACTTCACCATCCGAAATTGTACAAAAATAAAGCGAAAATCCTGGAATCGTAAGAGATTGGAACTAGTACAAACTTGTTTATGTTAGGTAGTGCGATGCGGAGATGTGATCTGAATTCAGTAAATGGAGTGTACAGTTATGATTTAATATATTGCTTACAGTCCCCTACTGAATTCCATTTTATTTGTCAAATTCAATCACAGTTCACAACCCCAAAAAAGGAAAAAAGAAACTGCTATGCAGGCACCCAACAAACAATCCAAGTTTCCAAGCTTTTTAGGCCTAAACTAGAAACAGTTTGAAGTTTGAACCCAACTGGACTACTGCGAACATGTGCCTGGAACTCATGTCACAGCATGTGCTCTCTCTCTGCAAAGAAATCATGCAGGTTGATCAAGATGCAACCAATCTTGTTACTGGCCGCTCAATTTTCTAGTTGTTTAGACCAAGTAACAGATATTTGGATTGAATGGGAAGGTTAAAAAGAGTTGCTCAGATGAGGAAAAAGATGGTTGATACTACTGGTAAGAACAGTCCGGAGTGTATAGTGACTGCAATATTTCCTTTTGAATATACACGAGGAATGAAATGGATGATAGACACTTGTAAAATAACAATACTAAGGACAAGGGCAGTGGCTTTTGTTTTTAAATGAGCAAAATCATCATAATATTATCGTATCACTTGCTGGTAATCCTGTCTAGGACTTTTCCGCTATAACAACGCAACATATCATGTGGCAGGTACCACTCTCACAATGTTTTCACTAGGGCTTTCTCTCTTCTTTTTTTTGACCCATTATTTTCATTAAATATTGTTAATAATTTTCCAAGCACCGCCACTTGATTGTACAGTGATTTTGGTGTTTGCATTAATACCGATTCACCTGCTTAGATTTTTCCTGTTGAATGCAGTGCAGAGCATCTAATTTCAAGTATACCCTTTTGAGGCATTTCAGGACCACCGTCTCTGTGCTTTTGATTGAAGAGTCTAAATCAGGGCAATGGTGAAGCAGTAAAAAATAAATAAATGAAAAGTTGTCCATAAGGCCTGCGAGGTGGTGGATCAGACCTTTGCTCAGTCTCTCTTTTTTTCCCTGAATTAAAAAAAACTTGATAGGTCATGACTTGTAATGGCATTCAATCGTGATGGAAATCTCTCTATCAAATTGAGGGGATTCCTTCCTTTTACTGCTATTTTGCTCTTTCTATCTGGCTTTTAGATAAACATCATTCCACTTTCCATAATTTCATTGAAATTCATGTATATTCTACTGACAATTTGTGTTCATGGGGCTGTGCCCACCTCCTTGGACCTTTTTTGATGTTTCAAGGAAAAGAAAACCTGGCTTCCTCGACTCTTGTGGATCTTCATCACTAATTGTAGTAATCTATAAGGATTTTAACCACTAACTAGAAGGGTAGATAGCAAGTTCAACTGTTAAAATCATGCATATTCTTCCAACACATTTAAAATTTAGTTGGGTGAACATCTGATGGAACCTCCGACCACGGCAACTGTGCACGTCACCATCTCTTGAAAGGTGATTTTGGCTTCACATCTTCATCAACCACAAGTTCAATTCTACACAAATTGAATGCACAATTGGACTCCCTGACCCACAGTCGGAAAATAATTTTAGATGTAAATTAGCATGTATATAGATGCTAAAGATACACAACAAAAGCATCAAACTGAGACTTTGCAAATCATGAATTGGAAGATTAAGGAAAGAAGAATACTTACGCATTCAACTGAATCAAAAAGAAAATAATTCAAAGCAGCCTACTTTTGTACCTTCTGGTGGGTCAGGGATCATCCAAGACCTAAGCAAACTATAATTTCTTTCCTTGCCTTTATCCCCAACCTTTTTTAAGTCAAATAGACTCTAGGAAGGACTCTTTAGGGGGATCCAATGCCCTTCATGAAGTCCATAAAAAAAAATTAGTGTGATGAAGAATGAACTCTAAATTGAACAACTTTTAACGCCTATGTTCAAAGGTTGGCATTGATTGCAATTGGCTATTTTAGATTTTTTTTTTTTAAAGGGTGTTTGTATTGAAATGAAATACTTCAAATTTGAAACGAGGTTTTTTTCTGTTCTTTTTGGCTCTTTGAGATTTGAATGTTTGCTTGTTAGTAATGGTGGTAGGTAGCTAGATTTCAAGGGTCCATCATCCTCCCTCCATTCCACTTTTGCTTTTCTTTTATACAAAAGCTTCCTCTGTCTCCATCTCCTTTTTTTTCTCATTATTTGCTAACCAGCCTTTCCTTTCAAACTCTCCTTTATGGTTTCTTCTTTATTGGGCTACTTCTTTTTATCCAATTTTATGGTACCATATCTCCTTGTTGCCCTTGGTACTGCATTTTTATGTTCCAGTTCTGGACAGCCAACGTTGGGTTCTGGTAGTTAATGTTGTGTATGACAATTGACAAATGCAACAACTCCATTAGAGATAATCAATTTGGTTAATTTCAAATTAAGTTATTTAAAATTGAATTAATCAAATTATATTATTTTATTTTTGTTAATTGAATGGAATTTATTAATTTTAAAAATTAACTAACTAAATTTAATTCGATTAATTTTTTTAGTTAATCGAATAATAAATCTATCTAAATTAAATTATATTTTAAAATTTTAATTTTTTATATTTTAAATAAATTAAATAAAATTATTCAACAAAATATTCAAATTTCAAAGTTTATGTTAAAACCTCTAACAAGTTATGAAATTAATTGATTCATTTTATATATTTTTTAGTTTATATTTGAATTATATTATATTTCAATTAAAAATTTGATTAATTTGATTAATTCGATTTTCAAACTGAATTAATCAAAAACTGAAATTTTTTTAAAATTATTTTTGTTAACCAACTGAAATTAATTTAATAATTTATCAATCAATTAAATTAAATCAATTCGATTAAAATCAAATTATGCACACCTCTAACTCAAATTACATGATGGTTGCATGATTTTTGCCTTATATTTGCCTAAAATCATATTGTCCCCTTGCAGCAAATCACAATTCATATGACATTATTCATATCCTTGGCAAGTTGAATTTGTGGCATGTTGGCAGTTGGAAGTTGACTTGTTTGTTTATGTGATATTTAAGTTTAATTTGTAGCAAAACCCTAATTTAAGTCAGCCCAATCTAATTTTATTAAGAAATGAATTTTATTTGGCCATAAGTTCGTTTAAATTCGTAAATTTTAAATGTTAATAAAAATTTTATGTACACCTATTCAAATATTTATCAACTTCTTCTTTCATGATTTGTTTGCACAAATGAATGGGTAATTTTTTTTAAATTAAAGAGATAAAAATTTAAGTTAGATTAAAAATTTTAAAAATAAAAAATTATTAAAACCGTGCAATGTACTATTAAAAAAGTATCACAATTCACAAGAGAAATGAGGGGCATAACAGTAATTAAAGGATTCCCGCACTATTACAGTTGCACGACACACCCCATTGGCACATTTAAACAGCGTCACGAGGCGCACGTAAAATTGAAGTAACTGTGTTTCAAAAGGGTATTTTAATAAATCCAACACCAACCACCGTTAACTCACGTTCTCTGGTCCACTTTCAAAGACTCAAACTCAAAAAACCTCTCATTCATTGCTTACACTCGTTCTTTCAGGAAAAGGAAGACTCTTTTTCCCCATTTCTCAGTATTTTCTTAGCAATCAAACATAGGGATTAGAGTTCAAGGGGGGAGAAGTGGGCATGTTAAAGATTAAATCTTTTTGAGGTTTTTGGTATTGGGTTTTTGAAGAAATGGCTAGTGGTGGTGGAAATTATAGGAACGGGACTCATAGGAACTCTCTCAAAGGAACAACAACAACTGCAACTGATAAGCCACTCTCTGTGAACTCCAACCTTTCAAAGCCTGCACTCAAAAACAAGTCTTTGTCTTCGGTTGGTGCCTCATCTGGGCTAAGGAAGAGTAGCCCCGGTTCACTTGGAGGTGGAACGGCCAAAGATGATGCTGGAGGTTAGTTTTTGGGTTTTTTTTGAGATCTTCGATGATACATTTTCTTGGTTTTGTTGTTTGTTTGCTTTTTCTCGTAAATGTTGTTTCTTATTGAGTTTTTTCTGTTTTTGGAGTGTTGGATGTCTGAATTTTTACTCGAGGTTGATGTCTAAAATCTTGTTAAATAGTAATCACACTTATTCATGGTTAGATAAGTTTTAAAGTATTCCAGGATTCAAGCGTGGTGGTTATGGGTCTCTAATTACATATGAATTGGTCATAAACGGTATTTCGGCCATTTAAATGCAGGACCAGATTGTATATTAATGTACTCGTCTTGGTTACAGAAGAAAACCTCCTAAAATGTGTTTTTCATGGAGTGGCAGCCTGTATATTTACTTTATATGGTAATGCAATATTGCAATGCTATGCCTTTAAGGAGAATGCTCCACATCAGACCGCTTAAGCAGATACTGTGGGGGTGAAACTCGACACTGGTTGGTGCCACAAATAAGCAGGCCCCTCAAACGAGCAGGATTTAGTGCGGCTTTACTCAATTTTCACTTTGAAAATCTGATTTCTTTTTTCTGATTGTTAGTATGTTAAAAATGTTGAAAGTTTATACAGCATAATATTTGTTTATCTTTCAGTGCCCTTATTTAGGGCTGCCAAACTTAGATTCTTAGGAATTTCGGTCTTTGCAAAGAAAAAGGGATTAGACTGAAAGTTGTAACTTGTCTGGTATTGAGCTCTTCTTGACAAGTGTGATCAGTATGCTATTCTTTTGTCCATTCTATATTTTTGATTTGTTAATTGAGGTGTCTATGTTCCTGTTCAGTTCCTGGAAGAGTTCGAGTGGCTGTGAGATTGCGTCCGCATAATGCAGAAGAGTCAGTGGCAGATGCTGATTTTGCTGATTGTGTAGAACTTCAACCAGAGGTATTTTGATTCCATTTGACTGTTAGATGTGCAGGGGATGCAATTCTCAGTAACTATTCTTTTCTTAGATGTCTTTCTGTTATCTGTTTGATACTGAAGTAGCACTGATTGAGGAAAAGTTAAGAAAAGGACATGTTCATTATATTTTTCCTGGATATGACATATTGAGGGATGCATTAGCATGGAAGTGATTGTATTCAAATGCAAAGGGAGAAAAGCAGTAAAGTTTGAGTAATAATCACTTCATTTCAATTAGTTAAGAAGGATTTAGTTTCTAACCACCTTAAAAATGAGAAGGCTGATGAGCCTTTGCTTGTGCATGTTTTAGCTGACCTAACTAGGTTTCAAGTTACTTGAATTTAGCTCCCATCCAGTTTCTACAAGTGTTTTTCTTATGTTGTTCCTTACAAAGGCACTGATGGTTCCTGCATTTATTTCAGCTTAAAAGGTTAAAGCTTCGGAAAAACAATTGGGATAAAGACACCTATGAGTTTGATGAAGTGCTCACAGAGTTTGCATCACAAAAGCGTGTGTATGAAGTTGTTGCAAAGCCAGTTGTGGAGGTTTCTCTGCATAACATATCTACTTCTACCACAATTTGTTAGAAATTCACTTGCATTTAGTTATTTTTCCTTGCAAGAGCAGAGGCAGTGCATTTAAATATTTCATCTAGCAAATATATGGTTTCTACTGTGCTGGAAGAAAATTATTTTCAGATGTTAATGATTGTATCCTTTTTCCTGCCACAGGCCGAAAGAAATAGTTTCAGCCTATTATTGTGTTTCGCTGTTGGTCTTTTCCCGAGTTATCAATTGTTTTATTCCGCTTGAAATAACTACTGTGTTTGGTCATAGCTTATAAAGTATTTTTTCCTAACTTGTTTTGGATTCATGGTTCAAATTTTATTAACAAGATCTTTGTATAATTTGTCTTTATAGAGTGTTTTGGATGGTTACAATGGGACGGTCATGGCTTATGGTCAGACAGGTACTGGCAAAACATATACTCTTGGACGGCTTGGGGAGGAAGATATGGCTGATCGTGGAATAATGGTCCGTGCTATGGAGGATATTTTAGCTGATGTTTCGTTGGAAAGTGATTCTGTTTCAGTCTCCTATTTGCAGGTTGTTGCACTTTATTGCAAATCTTGGTGTTTGATTTCTGATATTGTCATAGATTTTATGAATTGTGCTACCACAAGTAATACTAGCTAATTGGTCTAAGCTTATTTTCTTCTAGAAACTTCTTATCATTTTCTCTAAAGTTACAAATATTTTATTGTGACTAATAGTTCTGTTCATTGAAAATTTCTGCAGCTCTACATGGAGAGCTTACAGGATCTTCTTGATCCTACTAATGACAACATTTCCATTGTGGAAGACCCTAAATCTGGAGATGTTTCACTACCTGGGGCTACTCTAGTAGAAATAAGAGATCAACAGAGTTTCTTGGAATTACTCCGGCTAGGAGAAGCTCATCGTTATGCTGCAAACACAAAATTGAATACTGAATCTTCTCGTAGTCATGCTCTTTTGATGGTGAATCCATTGACAAGTTATTCTTGTACTAATCGATTAGTTGGCTGTGCTGATTGTTTTTCATTTATCTATCATGCAATTGGCTGATTTTTTTCTTCTTTAGGTACATGTCAAGAGATCTGTCAAAGGAAGAGAACCTGCTCATTCAAGTGAAAATGGTAACAGTACTAACATTGCTAAATCTCTTAGGCCTCCACTTGTTCGAAAGGGCAAGTTAGTTGTTGTAGATCTTGCTGGGTCAGAGCGAATTGATAAGTCAGGTAATGAAATTGGAAGCACAAAGCTTCCTCCCCTTAGTTTAACTGTTCAATTTATGATGGTCTTATTGTCCACCTTTTTGCTTGTGAAAAGCATCTTCTCTTGTTTTTCCTGCAAGTTGAACTTCGTTTCTTTGCTGTTACTTTGCAGGGAGTGAAGGCCACACACTTGAGGAAGCGAAATCTATCAACCTTTCTCTTAGTGCATTAGGAAAGTGCATTAATGCACTGGCAGAGAATAGTGCTCACGTTCCAGTTCGTGATTCAAAGCTTACTAGGTTACTTCGAGATTCATTTGGAGGTAAATTGGACATAATAGCTTTTTTCTTATGTGTTATTTGTTAATTTTTTAAGTTATTAATCTTCATATCTCGCTAATCTACTTGTAGACCAGAATGTTTTTACATAGAGTATATCTGGCAATTTTACATTCTTATGTGAAGACTCTGGCATCTTAAGTCCCATTTGAACAATGAAAGACCAGCATCTTCCACACTGCATATGTTTTGCCTGACATTTTGTTTATTTAACAGGCTCAGCAAGAACATCATTGGTTATAACTATAGGTCCATCCCCACGTCATCGCGGAGAAACGGCTAGTACTATAATGTTTGGACAGAGGGTGGGTTGCAAAACAACTTCCTTTTCTTTATTTTAATTAACTCATCTTGTTTTAAGGTTTTAAGTGGCATCTCTGAACTAGCTGATGGTGGGATTGTCATGTATTCAGTTATTTTATTTTTCTAGTAACATATAATGGAATCAAATCTTGACCTAGAGTATAAGTGCTTTATTTATACTTCCATTTGATTGCTCAATATATGCACTTTTTTTTTTCCTTTTATAGGCTATGAAAGTGGAGAATATGTTGAAGCTCAAGGAAGAATTTGACTACAAGAGTTTGGCTAGAAGGCTAGACATACAATTAGACAAAATGATTATGGAGCATGAGAGGAAGCAGAAAGCATTTGAAGATGAGATTGAAAGAATAACCGCAGATGCACAAAACCAGATTTCTGAGGCTGAAAGAAATTATGCAGATTCAATGGAAGTAAGGTTTTTCACCAGCATAGTAGTTGATGGGAATGTTCACTTTTTTCCCGTTCTTTTGCGTTTGTTTATGTGCACATGCACATAGATGTGTGAAGTGGTTGGGGGGAAGCTTTTTTTTCCTTAAAATTCTCTTTTAGTTTATATATATTCTAAATTTAGCTGGAAAGTACTATCTACTGCACTAATACGTGTAATGCTATAAAGCTTATCACTGTCATAATTTTGCCAGTTTTTCTACCTGAAAAAGGGAATAGTATCATAAAAATTCTGCATGGTTTCTGATAACATGAATGTGTCAAATGTGTAACACTTGATCTTGTAAACGATTTGGAAAAGATTGCTTTTTTCATTTGTTATATACTTAAGTTCAGTGTAAGGATGGATGGTATGCAGCGAAATGAAAGGGGTCTGGGTGAGGTAGAGCTAAGTGAACAATTACCTGCTGATCACCCTTTGAACTTTTTGATGGTAGATCATGCTTTTGTCCGGTGCCTTTAGTTAATCTACTTTCTACTTGAATGCACAATGATTCATATCTTCTTCTTCTTGTTGCAGAAGGAGAGATTGAAGTATCAGAAGGACTATATGGAATCAATAAAGAAGCTTGAGGAGAAATGGATGCTGAATCAGCAAAAGCAGGGTGGGGAAAGAAAGGTGGAAATATAATCTTGTGTATAACTATATCTCTCGCACTACATCATATTATTTCTCATACGACGGAAAATTTAATTGAGCGGGCATATTTTTTGTCTTTTGCTACATTCTCTTTATTACTCTTTTCTCAAGTTTGTCACTTACAGCCAATTTGAAACTCACTTATCATGTCTGTGCATTTTTGTCCCCACACAGGAGCACATGGTCTTCACTGCTGAGGAAGTTGCTGAGGTAAAAAAGTTACTTAGCAAAGAAACTTCACTAAGGAAAGCTGCTGAAGAGGAAGTCAATAACCTTAAAAGTCAACTAGCTCAATTGAAAATATCAGAGGTATATTTTGTGTATCTCTTTGTATTTTATTTCATCTTTAGCTCTGCTTTTCTGCTACTTCTTTGGCATATAGACTGCTGTCCCAATCTCCATACTTCCAATGTATAGGCATCGGCAAATTCTGAGATTTTGAAATTGCGGAAGATGCTGGAAGATGAGGCATATCAAAAGGAAAAACTTGAAGGGGAAATATCAATGCTACAAAGTCAGTTATTGCAGCTAAGTTTTGAGGCCGATGAGGTATGTTATCAATGGAATCTAGAGTTTGTTAGTTGTGGCATATTCCATCCATTTATTGTTAGTGATCCTATGATTCAATACTTACAAACTTCTTCCCTTTTGCTTTATTGTTTCTCATCCTTCATTTACTGATAAGTATTCCTCTCATGAGGAAATCTTATCAGAGTAGATGGTAAAAGTTAAAATTGTCAAACTTTGTCCATGTAATTGTAATTAAACTGCAAATTAAATATTTCCCTGAAACTTATGAGACTAAATGGCCTTCTAACAACCTGATTCAAAGAATTGAAAATTTGTGGTAGAAGGTGAGGCTTGTCATGTTTAAGGAAACTCTGCCACCTGAGTGACAATTGGTTTAATTGTAGTACATCTCAAATTTTAACCAGACATGCATTTTTGTTATAGACTAGAAGAAGGCTTGACAGAGGTGGGCCTGGGAAAGTCCCAGGTGGTCTAGATTCTCTCATTTCTCAAGTTAGACCACAGCTAAATGAGTCAGGAAATGGAGAGAAAGCCTCGATAGCAAAACTCTTCGAACAAGGTATAAAATGATAGATGATACTTAAAAAAACCATAATAAAAATGATAGATGATAATCTCTTTATAGTTAATCCTTTTGCTTTCTCTTATAGTGGGATTGCAAAAGATCTTGTCATTACTTGAAGCAGAAGATGCTGATGTACGGATTCATGCTGTGAAAGTGGTAGCAAATTTAGCTGCTGAGGGTAATGTTTCTGCCTGACTGTTCCTTGTTTACCTTTTTGTTGTAGCACTGACATATTTGCTCTAAATTTGATTTGATTAAAATATAGAACTGCCATTTTTAAGTCATTGCTTGTCTTCTGGTTTTTGTCATTCCTGTAGTTTCATATTAATACTTGTGAATCTTGTAGGAAGGAATTTAAGGACTGAAATCGTTAATTCTAGATAATTGAGTTTTTTTGCATAGATGTATTTTCTATTTCCCCCATCTCTTCTGTCCAGATAATAATTACTTTGATAGTGCTGTTTCTTATTAGATCTGTCAATGACACTGTAAAGTTCACCTCCATTGTGCAGAAACAAATCAGCAGAAGATTGTAGAAGCTGGAGGTCTAACGTCCTTGCTGGTGCTGCTTGGAAGCTCTGAGGATGAGACCATACATAGAGTTGCAGCTGGTGCAATTGCCAATCTTGCGATGAATGGTAAATTTAGCTTCCCTTATTCACCTTTTTTATACTACTATGCAATATGATGCCAATTTCTATGAAGCCCTTTTGCTTTCAATTGCTCTTCCTTTTACATGGTACACCAATTATTTTGCCAGAAACCAACCAGGAGCTCATAATGTCTCAAGGCGGCATTAGCTTGTTATCAATGACAGCAGCTAATGCTGAGGATCCTCAAACACTCAGAATGGTTGCTGGGGCCATCGCCAATCTCTGTGGCAATGGTAAATTGCTTGACCTCTTTGATTTTTATCTGCAGCAATCTTCTTATTTACTTGCATGAATAAGTTTATGAGAAATTGCTGCATGTTGTCTCAACAACTATACATTTCCTTAACTTCAACCAGTAATGTGTTTATGCTATCGGATACTTAAACTTCTAATAGTGAAAATTTGAATATTAAGCTTTTTTATTAGTTTCATAGGAGGTTGTTTCCATGGAGCTCTTTACTATGTTTGTGCTTTTTTTAAAGAATCAAAATGATACATTCCGTTAAAGAACTTGACTAGTGTAGGGCTTAAATGAATGCATTGTTCTATTGATAACTTTCTTAAAGTTTCATTAAGTTCATCAGTTGGTTTACCTTTTCAATTGAGTTCTTTTCCATTGCATTCTCCAGATAAGCTACAGACTAAGCTAAGAGGTGAAGGTGGTATCAAGGCCTTGCTCGGAATGGTCAAATGTGGACATCCAGATGTTCTTGCACAAGTTGCTCGTGGAATAGCGAACTTTGCTAAATGCGAGTCAAGAGCATCAACCCAAGGTACATTTCTTGATGCATGTACCATGGCCTTTTCGAACTTGTTGATGCCTTGATTTCTTTGTCTTTTGGGGTAATTTGGTTCTCAAATGGTACAGGAAGTAAAACTGGAAGATCTCTTCTGATCGAGGATGGAGCACTTCCGTGGATTGTACAGAATGCTCACAATGATGCCTCACCAATCAGGCGGCATATTGAGCTTGCAATCTGCCACTTAGCACAACATGGTAAGCTTGTTCTTTCTTTGGAAATTTTCTGAGGTTTCTCTCTTTCAATATCTTTTTAAAGAGACTTCAATTCACCACATTGCAGAAGTGAATGCTAAAGACATGATAAGTGGAGGTGCCTTGCGGGAACTGGTCCGCATCTCACGAAACTGTTCACGGGAAGACATAAGAACTCTTGCACATCGGACACTTACTTCTAGCCCCACCTTCTTAGCTGAATTGAGGCGACTACGAATAGACTATTAATAAAATTATGGAAAATTCGATTGCAGTACTGGACGTGAAGGCAGAAACCGTGTCAGCTTAAACCAATTCAGACTAAGGGTTGATACTCCCCACATTTAAAATAGCATGAGTGCATACAGCGGTGTTCCTGTTGAAGTTTTGCCATGAAATAGATTGCGCTTGGCTTCGCAGTCAAAATATACTTGATTGTCTTGTAATCTCGTATATGTGTTCATCTGAGACGCATTCTTGTGTAGTTTGCTATTTATAGTAACCAAATTATTTGTATATTAAATGGAGAGAAGGGTAACTAACATCCAGTTGTTCTTGTATATATTAAATAAGTTCACATCATTTATTCTGGAAATTTTTTAGTTTGTGCTAGCGGAAACCCTGAAAATATCCCAGTGTTGATGCAGTTTGGTGATTTATGCCTCCTAGTTCCTACTCACTTCTTTCTCGTTGTACAGGGGATTAGGTTTAGTTAATATCAATGAGGAATTCACTGCTACTATTTTTATTCATATATTTAATATATTTTTACCCAAATTTCACTGTTCAATACTTTATATCTTAGAAAAAAAAGGAAACTGAATCTGTTTTCTTGCGTCCTAATCTGCTGTCCCTGTAATTAACAAATGGAAGAAGGAAAATCTTAGTCAAGTTTGTCTGATAGTATTAAGAAAGGGGACATTCCCAAGCTGTCATTGCTGTGTAAAGTGTTTTCTTTATCTTTTGTTGAATAAAAGCAAAAGTAATTTTGAACCTCCATTTTTTTTTCTCAAAGATCAAAAAGAAAATGTGACATTTCTTAGTAATTGAACTAAGGTGAATTTTACTTTTGTTATCTTGAACTAGAGCAATCTACTGATATAATTGCATGTTATAATTTTATGAAGATATTTCTTCAATTAGTGGATATCATCATATGGCTAATTATTGTTTTCTTTGAACACCCATAGTTTTCTGATTTGAAAATCCCTCCCCCATTAATTAATTCTCTTCCATTCCATGCCTTGATTCCTCACTTTGTCAACTCATTGTGAAAAATGAGAAAATGTACTAACTCAAACCTCTCAAACAATTTGACATACAATGATACAACCAGCAGATGACTATAGCTACTAATATTATTGGCATAAACATGCAAAAAAGAATGAAAATCAAAAGGTCTATAAAAATAACTGATGCTATATCAATTTATTTATTTGCTACTAATATTATCGATCTATTTCTCATTCTAATTTAATTAAGAAGGGATTAGTTATGAGCTTAGTTGACATTATTGTTTACTAGTTAACCTGGTAAAAAAACCCACGTTTTAAATGTCAAATTCAGTTAATCAACAAAAAAATAAGAGAGAGCAGAAGAAAGTTGATGGGGTAACAGTAAGAAAAGAAAAAGCTGATGTTCAAGAATTCAGTGAAGAAATATACATAGAAGAATGAATAGATAAGTCTGATAAGGTTAGCTTTTGAGAAAAAAAAAAAAAATGAAGCCAGCTGTGAGTTTGAAGATGAAGAGTTGCAGTGCAGAGAATCTGAACTGGATTTTGGCTTGAATCTTGAACACCTGCCCAATCCTCAGTTCTCTGAATCCGAAATAGACAGATAGAGAGATAGGGGCTAAATTTGGAGCCCACATATTGTTTTGGTTGTTGCCTTTTTATGCAAGTGTTTTGTGGTATTGCCTCGAAAAGGAGCTTGTTCAGAGCAGTGCACGTGTAAACCTGTACCCAAATATTTTCGTGTCTCCCCCATCTTTAAAAAAAAAAAGAAGGAAAACCCTAAGACTCTCTAAAGAAACAAACATTTGGAAACTATAATGCCCATAACTTTTTGCTTGCTTCTTGAAAATAGTTTGCCACCCACCCCCCAGTACTGTACTGAAACCGTCTCTATAGCTAGGTTTAATTCAACACTTCTCCTTTGACCTTGTCTGTTTCTTTACATAAATGGCAAAAAAAAATGAAATAGTTTTATCTACTTATTCCTAACTGTCTCCTAGATGTGGGTTGTGATAAAGGGCTAGGAAATGTTAAGAGGAGAAAAGGTATAATTTTGTGTCTAGGAAGAATATATATTGAATTAAAGGGACCTCCCTTTTCTGAAGCAGACTCTCTCAAGAAAAATATAGTGAAAACTGAAAAGAAGTAGTAGTGCAAGTCCTAATCTAGCTATTTTGGCTGCTGCCCCTTTCTTCTTGGTGTTGATCTTCTTCTTCTATTGAAACATAGGGAAACACTTATTCTCATAAAATCAAATGTACCGAGAATCCATGAATTTACAGTCATTCAATCAACATGCTGGCATATGATCTACTCATCAAATTCAATTAAAAAGGGAAGGAGAACAAAAACTAACAATAAAAGGAAATAAAACCTGAAATGCTGCTCAACAAACCCAAATTTCCTAGCTACGAATTAAGTTTTGTCCTCTTGCTATAGCTGACGCAGAAACTGAATTAACTAAGCAATACTATAACATTCAGTACTGGAAACTGTTAGCTAGAATGGGGGGCGACCAGTAGCCCAGAATGCCTCAGTTGGTAATTGAATAGAATTGAGAAGATTAGGTGGTAGTCCATGAAAAAGAGAAGCATTTGACTCAGCTAATAGTTGTTGTTGCTGCTGTTGCTGCTGCTGCTGTTGCCCTCCAACTGCATCCGGTGATCCAATTGCACCCCCTTGCATTGGAAGCTGCGGCTCTTCTTCTTCCAATGGAAGCCTCTCATATGCGGCGTTACTAAAAGAAGCTGCCATAATCACAACTGGGCCTGAACAAGTAAGTGTGCCAACAACGCTGCCACCTACCACCTGGCCTTGTCCACCAGCCAAATATATGGTTAACCCCGTAGCTGCAGGCGGTGCCGGTGGAGGCAAGAATGATCCTGCCAATGATAATATCTCAAATCGGCCATGTAAGGTCACAATTGCACCAGCAGAGGCTGGTTGCCTAAGAGTTACATTTGTGACGGTCCCAGTTCCACTCATTATGCAAACACCTCTCTGGCGTCTTCTAGCAAATGTTGCAACGCTTTCAACAATGTCACATCCATCTCCTATTTCCATGACATGAGTTCGTAAAGCGTTGGCACTGTCCCGGGTGATGATGATTGGTGGCCTAGGCTTGTTCTTGGATCCGGCAGGCCTGCCTCGTGGTCTTCTATTGATCTCTCCTTCGCCAGAACCAGGAGTACCAAGCTCTATGCCTTCATTATTGGCGCTGCCGCTGTTGATTTTGTTGCCATCTTCGCGATCCCGTTTCTTTAGGCCACTGCTGCTGCCACTTTGTTCATCTTCTGAATTTTGGTGATGGAACTGATGTTCTTGCTGTTGCTGCTGCTGATTGTGAAGATTGAAATCTCTCATATGAAATGGAGGAGGAAGAGAAAGACCATGTGATGTAACTGGATCCATGCTTTTCCTATATAGATAGTACTATCTTTTTTTTTTTTTGTTTCTCTCTCTGTTTTACAATCTCGAAGCTCTCACTTCCTCACATACAAACAGGAACCCCAGCCCAAAGCAGTGATAATTAAACACCAAAGAAATAACGAAAGCACACACAAAGAAGTAAAGCTTGTACTGCTTGTAAAAGAATTAAAGGAAGATAGTGGAAGGAAAAGAGGCTATAAAAAAATATAAGAACAAAACTGCTGGGACGATTCTTTCTTTTTCTCTGTTTTGTGACTCTCTTTCTTTTAATTTGTTTAATGAACTAGTAAGCCGCACACCACATCCCTAAACCAGAACCCAGAAAACTAACTTGGTTTTGGGTTTCAGTAACAGAAGAACTTTCAACAGAATTCACCATCTTTTTCTACTCTACTGAACACGTTGGGATAAAGAAAAGAGAGAAAGGAGGACTGGGGGTTTGGTGGGGGGATTCTCTGACATACCTGGGGGCTAAAACTGAAAGAGGAAGGTGGGTTAGGGTTAGATATAATGGGAGGAAAATAGATTGATGGGAGGATAGGGATTGGTTTTCGCAAAGTCTGCGTGCTTATGGGCGGTGGAGTGAGGTCCCCACTTCTCCCTCTCAATTTCTCCCTGTGCACTCCACGCTCTCTTTCTTTCTTTCGTTGAAGATATATAATTTATGATTATTTTAACTTACCAGCTTAACTCTATTACATAACCCTCAACTCTCAAGTCCTTTATCTACAAAGAAATTCAACATCTCTCTTTTAAGTCCTCTTTGAACTGATCAACCCTGTTCTCCTTCTCCTGTCTCCCCCAAGTATCCAAGTTTCTGGTTTCTGCTGAGGTATAATACCAGTTTCTTTGGATATATATTTTTGTTTTGATTTTGTATGCAGAAGCAGCAATCTGCATTTGGCAATGTTTATTTCAATGTAATAATTCAGTATATATCATTTTAATTTGCAATAAACAAAACACCACAACTATGTCTGAAATCCTCCTTCTGACCTTAGAATTATTGGGACCATCCCTCTAAGAAGATGTAGAACAACTAAACACAACACAAAAAAATTAAAACCCTAATCTATTTATGTGCTAAAACATCATACCTAAGTTTAGTTTATTAAAAAAATAATTATTTTGATGTAATAAAAAGAAAAAAAAAACCCTAGCTGGCACAATTAAATTGGACTGACATGTTATAACAGAAAAGAGAAACGTTTGCTTCAAAATTTTTTCATGGCCCCACAAAGGAGCAACTAAGCTATCTTTATTTGGGTTAAAAAATTCAGCTAAATTTTGCCAAATTTATAATATTTATGTCAATATTAACGTTAGAATACAAGGGTACACATCCATTATAAACTCAACACGTGTCTCTTTCCCTTATTATTCCATTCTATTCCGAGTCATATTTACGTTTACTTTGGTAATTAAGTTCCACATTATTATTAAAATTAAATAATACGATTAAGATAAGCTTATTCTTAGGGTGTGGTTTTAAATTTGATTTAATTGCCACTATCTTTTATGCATATCATCATTTTTCTTTAGAGATATATATCTGAATTTGATATTGCTGACTATAGTAAAAGATGAAGAATTAGATTTTTAAAATTAAATGGCCAATTATTCCTTAAGTTAAAGAGAGTATAAAAAGTATTCAAAAATTTAATTAAATGATAAGTGCATAAAGTTTTTTATTCGTAAATTTGGACCGAACATTTATAATGGGATGGATTTAAATATATATTGTTGATAGTTTTTTCTAATTTGAAGTCCCATGTTTCAAATAAAGCCATATATGCCATGACTTGGGGAACAAAGATTTAACACTATTAGGTACCATTTAATTCAAGAATTTTAAACTTATAAAAAATGCATAAGTAATTAAATATTGCCTTCAAACTTTTAACACGTATATAATATTAACTACATCTAATTATTAAAATGAAGCAACTTGAAATACAAATTCTAAAAAGGGTTTTTTTTTTTTTTTTGCATTTTTATTGGATATGAAGCTAGGTTAAGGTTTTAACTTTATGAATTGTATTTAATTTAACAATTAATTTAAATTAGTAATTAAAAAAATTTAACCTAATTGATTTATATAATTATTATTATAATATGACATCTAATAAATTTTAAGTTCAAATTACAACTATTACAAAAAAATTTTTATGTCATTACGACCTCTTTTGTATAAAAAATTCTTTTGAAAAAAAAAATCAACTAATAATTAAAAGCTCAAAGAATAAGATATAATTAACCTCAACTCTAAGACGATTAATTAAGATTAAAAAAGATACACATTAAATCATATGCAAATTACATATACATCGGAAAAAAAAAAAACTCAAAGAAAATAAAATATTAGAAACCCTATCATTGCGGGCTAGACCCATTTTTAATCTTGTCGCATTCCTTTGTTAATCGAGAAAGAAAGAGCTAGCTAGCTAGGGAGGTGATGATAGTAAACAAACTATAAAATCCTATAAAATGGAAATTTATATGTATGTTGCTCAGTGCTCACACCATCAGAGACGTTAATTGATAAATTCTATAAAGTTTTATTTAATGAACGGTTATGATGTGATGACTACAAAATAATTATATTAGATTTAGGTTTGACCGCATAATCCAGAGTGTTGGGGGCGTGAGTGAGGAAGAAAAGACGCGTGGGAGGCGCTGACAGAGAAGCAGCTGAAGGCAAGGCAAAGGCAAAGCAATTTGCAGGAGCAGCCCGGAGAGAGATTGGGAAGTGCAAACTTTGTTGCTAGTGTAGCCAACAGCTGAAACAAAGAGCAACTCTTGATTTCCTTCATCTTCTCTCACTCAGGCTTATCTCGCATGACTCCAGGGATGGGACGCAAACCCATGTATTAAAAGATGCCCTTTGTCGGGGCCTTCTCTCTTTCCTCATGGAGGGCTCCACTTCAATTTCCTCCCTTTCCTTGGACTTGGATTTCTCTCTCTCTCTACATTGTGACCTAACAGCTGGCAAGAATGGGATTATCCTCCATGGACGGCCTTTACAGCCAAACCTAAGCGGGATTTGTATTAAAGTTGATAGGAAGCCATTAATTGGGTTTAATTAGGTGGATTATAACTTTCTGCCCATACCTCAATATCTAGACTAAAGTTTTAAGGTGCGGTAATTATGATAAAATAATTTTATTTATTAATCAAAATTATTTTTTAAAAAAATTTATATAATTTAAGTTATTGATGTTATTTTAAAAATATAATAAGATATGTGAGTTCAATCTTTTTAATTAAAAATAATTATCATTATTTTGAAAGAATTAAATATCTTATATCAAAAGAGATAATTAATTTTCCTTTCAATCGTATCATTTTCTTTAGATACAAATTAAATATAATATAAAATGATTATTATCTTTTTTTATATATCATTTTATATATCAACTATGACCTTAATCTATATTTTATAGATTATATATTGCTCAAATATAAATGTAGCACATTCTTGAATGCATCAAACATATATAAGTGAATATACTTTTAAAATCGTCTTGGAGAGAGATTAGATAAATTAAATTTGATAACTGATCATATTATCAAAAAAAATCTCAACCCATTTAATTAAAAGTATAAATTAAATATAGAATTACACATTATCAAGCTTAAAAAAAAAAAAAAACCCTTTAAAGTAACAGAAGAGCATCCAAGAAAGAACTTTTATTTTTAGAGTTAATTACACTTTTGATATTGGATTTTGCAAAAATGTACAATTGATACCTAAAGAAATAAAATGCATCAATTTATACATTTGCTCCAAGAACTTTCAAATTATGTATCATGTTAATTCAAACTTTAATCCCACTAACAATATCAACTTATACATGTGATGTTTGATAAATATTATTGAATTATATATTTATCACACATACTATTAATATCTTTTTCAATAAAAATGATCTAAAAAATATATTTTTTACATGAATCGTATAAATTATTTAGAATCGGTAAATTATTATTTATCATATGATATCCAAATGATACTTTTATAAAGTATTTAACACTTTTATTTAACAAATAATATACATATAATAAAATTATATTGATTAGATACCATATATATTAGTTAAATTAATAGTATTAAAATTTATATTAAAATGATATGTTATTTAAAATTTTAAGATGTAAATTATACATTTTATATTTTTAACTACCGATTTGTAAATTTTCCTAAAATTCAGATACCAAATTGTAATTAACTCTTATTTTTATTTCTTTGTAAACATAGGACTCACAAAAGCTGTTATTTCATTATAATTATCATGATCAGGTTATGGTCGTATTTCTTTCTAGGTTCCTTTTGAGATGACTCCAACAAGGGTTTGATTGTTTTTTTTTTTTTTTTACTAATTTTATTTTATTTTTTAGTTGTTGTTCTTGGCTTGTCAAAGATGCTCGTTTTGACTTAATTTTTAACCCAAAGCCTGTAGTTGCTGTCTTATCTATTCATATTCTATGATATCTCAAAAACATTGTGGAAAATTATCATTTTAGGATGGATTATCATTAGGTTGAAGTTAATCATATGAAGCAAAGCACAATTAAACTAGATATATATTATATGAACCTTGTCCATTCCCATATCAAGGCTTTTTACTAAAGTTGACTGCCGTAAAACATATATATTTATTTATTTATATATCCATCAACTAGTAATTTAATTAGAGATAATTAATTAATAATCAATTTTGACTTCAATTAATATGAAAATTAGCCATGATCATACCATCCTTATCGACAATATGATGCATGCATAACATATATTAAGAGAAAGATTCGATATTCACTCAATTATGCTACTTGGAAGTTAGCCGCCATGGCTGAGGTATATGAGTTGAAATTGTAGAAAGAGTAGCAACCAACAAAGAATATGTATAATTATATCAAAGCTAGTATTTTTTTATGTACCAAAAAAAAAAAAAAAAACAAAGTCAATTGGTAGATTTGCAACTTGTTTTTGTTAGTCTCCTTGCTACTATGTATATGAAACTCCTTTATCTGCAAAAAGAGTAGTAACAGTGAAGAAAAGAATATGAATTTAACTGTAAAAAATTGTTTTTCAGAAGCAACAAATTTCAGCAAAACCCTATGTTCATAGCAGATAAATTCATTCTTTTTTTTTTCTTAAAAAAAAAAAAACAAATTAATGGATGGGAATTAAGGTGGTTGGAAAATAAAACCCTTGTATTTCTTTGTTGTTATTGATTGAGACGTACATTAGACTCTCAGTAGTCAATAGTGTATATCTAGGTGCGTACGTGTTGAGAGAAATTGAAAATGAAATGTGATGTACACAAGAAATGGCATCTTCTATATTATTTTTAATTTCCTTTGATTAGAATTGGCCGGCTTCATTTGGAATTATATAATTATATAAAAAACAAACAAGAAAACAGAACCATGTTTAGGGTTAGTCAATGCAGCACCCACCAGGCTGCCACCGTTTTTTTAATTCAATTTGTTGCAATATATTAATTTTTTGGCACTTGATAATCTGGTGTTTGTGAGCTGCTTGATGAATTTCTTATACCATGTGAAGACTTAATTTTAGTTTTTACATAAAAATGGATTATGGTTAATTTGTCAGCTTTCAAGTACAAATTAAAAGGTTTTTTTTTTTTTTTTTCATGTTGACGTATAATATTTAGTTCATTGGTTCGTAAAATAGAAAAGAAAAACATTTTTGACGTATGAACTGGTTTCCATTCAATTGAGACTATATGTGCAAATTCTATGATTTGTAAGCATGATGGCATACTCCAAGGAGTCCATCGAGGAATTAACTTATGCTTCTTGCCATTTTTTTTTAAATAATGAAATTCGAATATAAATTTAATTACAAGTTTATTTATATCTTTACGTACTCTTAATCAATTTTTTTTCTTCACTATACCTAATTCTCTTCATTCTACATAAGTTGCATTCTGTGTTAACATTCAAAATATTTTATGCGCTAAAGAAAAAAATATGAGTTCGAATTTCATTTTTTTTTCAAAATAAACTAAAATAAAAATATAGGTTACCTTAAAAAATTTTCAAAACAAAACCCTCTAATCACTAAATAAATTTCAAAACAAAACCCTCTAATCACTCAAAGGCATGAGTCTAACTGAGATGGGAAGTTGGGGTCTTCAAGATAGGCATGCATAGAAGTACTTTTCTTAATTACCTTGAGAGAGAAGTTGTGGAAGTTGATGATGAAAGAAGATAAAGACATAGAAACTATCACAACTTTGAATGCTAGTGACTCAAACTATATTTTTAATGCCTTATCTTAATCAAAGTCCAATATTTCATTAAACAAATCAACCAATCACCAATATCTTATTATAAAAAATAAAAAATAAAAAATATTATAAGAAACCGATTCGATGGGGGATAACAAAAAAGATAGGAACAAAACAAATTAAATTGAACACCATGTGAAAGGCACCCATTGCCTCGAATCTGGCATATATTGTTGCCATGTTTCTGTTTTTCTTACAAAGTCCATCCCCATCTCTTACCAGTTCAAGGTTGTTGCATCCCCATCTGCATCTTCTCCGGGGGAGACCAATCAGCCTTTCACATGTCGAGGTTTAATTAATTAATTAGTTAATTAGTTAATTCAAGTCAATAGAGTATTGGACTTTAGATTAATTAGACACTAAGCAAACGATAAATCAAAGGCGCCCACGTGATCGATCCATGGCAATCGATGAGGAATCTTGTTGAATGTTAGATCATAAAATTGATCATATAATCAAGATGCTAATTAAATAAGTTTAACATTGTTAATTTCAAATGAATTTGTCTTACAGGCTCTATAGTTTCACACTAATTTCCTTGACGTTGAATTCTTCTTGCATGAACTTGATTTATTACCAGCCATCCATCTTGTAATCTTTTAAAAGTTACATGGAATGGTCAAATACAAATGAATTTAATTTACCGAGTTAAAAATTTTAAAATTTAAATTAATTAATTCATGAGATTATAAATTTTAATGTAAATTAAAACTAGAACTTGAAAAAAATAAAATAAAATGCAATGCTGAAAGATTTGCCTCAGTACAGTTCCCCTATTGACTTAAAATATGTAAAGAAATTATATACACTCATGATTGTACGGAAAATCTCTAAATATTGAAGACAAAATTGATGACTTTGAGACGATATGCACCCTAAGTTTTTTTTTTTTTTTGGCTTTTAAATTTTTTTTGGTTCATTATTTTTTAAAATATAAATTATCCAATAGACAAACTTAAAAAATCATGACCCCAAATGACATAAGTAGGGTAATATTTTAACTAGAAAAGCAATCTATTCAATTGAAATCTATGTATAGATAATATAAGATCATCTGATAAAATTATTCTATACTAGATTTTTTTAAAAATTTTTAATTTATCCTTAAATCTTATTACTCTATTACATACTTAATTAAAAGAGAATATTATGCATTTAAACTTTCTCAAACTCGCAACTTATAAGTGTCAACTTCAATAACATGTAAATTGATTCAAAAAATAATCGGTTATAATTGATTTTTTTTGTTTGTGCTTGAAGCTGGACTGTGTTTTTTTTTTTTCCGGATTCAAAATTCTTGGATATGTTTGTAGCAGCAAGTTTTCAACCCTTCCATAGAGTTTATAGGCAGCGAAATCCATGGGCTGGCCCATGAAATACTGGATTTTGAAATAAGTGGCCCAACACTGACCAGATGATGCCAAGCCGAGGCCGGCTCATTTTATATGTCTTTTTCTTTTTACCGTTCGCGTGGATAGTTCCTTGGTAAAATATTAAAATTTAATTTTAATGTTTAAAATTTAAATTTTGATAATTTTTAATATCAAAAAGAAAAATATATCTGGTTGAAAATTTTTTTTTTTTAAATTTGAAATAAATCAATATATAGAAGAGAATTATGAATAATCATGCTACACAAATCTTATAAAATGGGATAAATGTGATCCTGATTTGTTTGGCTTCTATTGTTATATAAGATCAAGTGGAACTCTAACCAGTTGTGCAGTGATCAAAATTTTAGTGGGGGATTTGAAAATGAGAGCCATTGAACCTGAATGGAAGAAAATAGTAACTTTATTTTGTGTGCTATGTCTGTCTTTTATTTCTAGAACCTCCCATGTCTCTGGTCTTTCTTTCCTTGACTCAATTGGAAAGTTATTCAAGTCTCTTGTCACCATGCACCCATCACTTGTGGACAGGACAAAGTTAAGAGGTACAACTCTGATCCCCACTAAAAAAAAGAAATCAAATACTATAACAATAAGATCATGATTGGCACCAATTGCAAAATTCTACATCATACTCAATTCACTATGAATAATTAATCATAGAAGCATTTAATTTCTTGGATCTTTCAGGGTAAAATCTCTAGTTAATAAATTGCCAGTTTGAAAATTTTGGTATCTTTGTTCTGTAATTTCAGGATTTTTTATATGATTTTCAACCAGTGTGTGCTGTCATCATGAATTTGAACTCTTCAAAATTTATGAGTCCATCTCCATCTTTATCAACTCCTTTGATCATGAGGAAGCATTCATTGAGACTACACTTTTCATGGCCAAGACCAGCCAGTATTTTCTGCAACTCCTTAGCTGATATGAATCCATTTTTGTCAGAATCAAATATGGCAAATGCATCCATTAACTCATCTTCGTTGTCTCTGAACTGGACTGTATTCACTCCAAGAGCATCCATGAATTCCTCAAAGTCGATGTATCCGTCACCATTTCGATCCAATTCCCTTACCATTCCATCAGCTTCCTTCTTTGCTGCCGACCTTTTCTGCCCCAAAGACAATAGCACTTCCCTGAGCTCGAGTGATGATATTTTCCCGTCTCCATTAGTGTCAATGAGCTTGAACACCTGCTTCAGCTGACTAGAAATTTCCATGGAAGCAAATGAAGAGGAGCTGCAATCTAAACCAGCAAGTAGCACCTTGGGGTCTCTTTGCTTGTATCCCATTTCATTTCTCAAGACTTTGAGCTTTAGGAAAAAATTTTTGGCCTGCTTGCTCAAAAGCATTAGGCAAGACTCAAAAGGCTTAGACATTTGTTAAAACTAACAGAGGAGATACAAGGAATAGAGGATATCAATGGACTAATGGCAGATATGCTATGAGGAGTTGATCAAAGGGGTAATGGTAATTATAGCAAGAACTCAATTGCGGAAATACGAATTGTCCGCATGAAAAGAAAGTTGAAATGGATTGATGGATACTCTGAATACGAATTTATTTATGGTGGAGAAGCACGTTACATGGTTCTCTTCACTTCAGTTATACAATCAAAACTGAATAATGTGTTTCAAAAGTCAGAGGAGCACCCTTTTCTTTCATATTGATGATTTGATAGCTTGTTAGAATACTAGTCAAGGAGGAAGATGAGGTAATTGTTGGAGATTTCTTCTGATTATTTAGATACATGAATATCTTAGAAAGTACTGGTGAATTTGACTGAACTTTTGCAATTATGTGGTTGGAATTGGCCCGTTGCTGTGTGGCTTTGCAGACAAACTCATAATCTTCAAAGCTTAATTATTATAGATACCATATAATTGCATGTGTCACTTACTGAATAACCTAAATAAAAGGAGTTGGAAGATGAGGTGACTCTCCAGCCAGAAAATGCTCCATCATTTTCCAACATGCATCTTGATCAGCAAGGCCCTTCCCTTCAAGAACATACAAAATGTGGAACAATTTGTTGGCCATACTACAGTGTTATATAATATAGAGACTGTCATTTGACTGTTTTTGACCCTTTTTTCTCCACAGCTATAAAAGAATATATATATATATATATAATATATATATATATATGGTTGATTTTTCTATTGTTGTCAGTAGTGAAGGGCAATGTTTAAATAGATCTTCATCAAAAGTTATGCCCTGAAATTGAAAAGACTAAGCAATATAGATTCATCCTTATGCAAACTGACAACATGGTTAATTCGGTGAAAGAAAAGTAAGCAAATAAAGTAACTTGAGATTTTCTTGTAGATGCAGACTGTAAACTTAAATTTTCCTTCTATATCCAAACTTCCTGCTGCAGGTAAATTGTATACAATCAATAATAGAGAAATGATAGGAGTTCATACTTTGTTAGATAAAGTTATTCTGCCGTGCATGTATCTCCAACCTAACCTTATCGCTGAATGCAACTTCTACATCAAACAATAAAGAGTAGTAGTGCCTCTATCTTTTCTTTTCTATATATCAGAAAGCGAAAATGAAGAAAAACCAGGTGCCTCTTCCTTTTACGAAGAGATAATAGAGGATCTTTTTTGTATATTGTGAAGTGGTGTATACTTCGTTGAAATCCATTGATAAATAATTTACTAAGATGCAATTCCTACCCCCTTCTTCACTTCTATATATTATGATAAGGTATAATAACTGGCTTGTTAGCTTCCCTCTCATGCTAGTGAACTAGAGCTATATATAACGCATATAATCAGTTTGTAGCAAAGCATTTCTTTCCACTATGCTTCCGTTTAAAGTATTCCATCTGGAATCTAATTGATCTCCATCGATCTCTCACATGTACAAGCAACTAATTTTATTCACACCGCCATAGGTAGATGCGCACTAGAGCTTGATTCTTCATGTTCATATTCTCCTGCCTAATTGGACCAGTTGTGAGCTATGTGTCATGTTTTTGATGTCAAATCTCTCTCTTTCCCTCAGAAATTGTATTTGGAAATGAACTCAATCATGGAGAGGTAGAGACATCAGAAATGTACAACAATCAACTAGGAATTAAGGCAGATATGCATGCTTTATGAATGGGGAACAAGTGGAAAGCAAAGTGATCTTGATAAAGAAGAAAAAGAAAGACTGAAAGACGATAGATACATGAGTGAGTGCCTCTTGTCCTTTTAAAATATTTCCCTGAAATTTTTATGTCTAGGATTCTTGGAGTATTTATAAGCTTATGAGTCCTAAATGTTAAGAAAGATACTAATAAAATGAGTCCAAATGAGGTTTGTTTGATGTTTGTGTGTTTTTGGTTTCAATCATCAAACTAAATCAGTTGCATTTTGCTTTGCTTTTTGTATGTCATTTTTCAAGACCAAAAAAAATCACAATGTATTACATGGACATGTTGCAGACTCCACGCAAAAATAAAGCAGAGTTTTCAGATGTCTTTAATGGCTTTCCACTGGTACAGGTTTTTTCCACTTGAAGGCAGGACAAGATTGATGACCATAATTTGCTGTCTTTCCCCCTTTTAAAGGCCTTCTTTTCTCCAAAAGAAACATCAAATAAAAAGTTTGATTGCCTAATATATTTACAATAAGGACAGGAAAAAGTAAAAGAAACCATTTCTGTCAGAATTTACCTCTCATCTCATAATATAGGCATATGTTACAAACCGAGAGTTATATTGCAACTTCATTTTCTTTTTCCTTTTTCCTTTCAAGAACAGTTATTAAATGTTTCCTAAAGTACTATGTAAACTGATAAAATATGAAATGATAAGAATATAGAATAAACTATCAGTGACTTTAGAAAATGAAAGAAAAAGCTTAGTTATGGTGGCCCAGGTAGCCCATTTTGATTCCTTATAGCATAGAATCTGAGCAACCCATTCATCTTTAAAGGCCAAGCACAGCCAGCAGGACCACAGCATTATTGCTCACAACTTTTATACCAAATCTCCCACCCTGAATATATTACTGATCCTCACATTATTTTACTCTTTTCATTGAAAAATACTATGAAATATAATTACAATAGTAAATGAAACCAGATCAGAATCTTTGTTAGTGGAGACAAGGGTGGCTCATCTGGTTTTCAGTTTTATTCTTGTTCAACTTCCCACATGGCGATGATTTTTCTACTATCTTTCTATCAAAGATATGTTAGTCCTTCAAGAACAAAATAAAGGATGCAAAGCATCAGGTTACAAACCATTTTAGTTACTTTTAAGCAATGAATCAGGACGGAGAGAAAGGTTCTGGGAATTTCATTCCTAGGCAGCATCCTGTTTAATTAGTCTGTAAAACTTGTGCAAAAGTAAATATGCTTAGGAAGAAACAACCTGAAAGTCTGAAACGAATATCTCACGAGATGTGAAGAGGATTTGTAAGCATGATTTGGCCTTTTGCATTATCATCACGCACTATAAATCCACCACCTAACTTTCACTTTCTTAATTGGCTGTTACCATTAAAAAAAGCCACCAAATTTGCACCTTCAGAAACTAACACCCTCACGAAACTCATGCACTAGCAGTAGCCAATCAATCTTATCTAAGGAAACCCTGAATTCCCCATCTTTCTCCTAAGAAAGTTATATATTTTGGAATTTGGAACAATCCCCATTACCTTGCTCAAGAAATAATGCCTGCAACATCAAGATTGGAAGAGAACCCAACTGAAGAAACATCTCAGTCAGCTTCACTTTCAAATCCCACCAAGAAATGGCCTGCCAACCTCATGCAAATAATGCTTTCAGAGCTGAAAACACAGAGAGGAATAGCGGTTCCTTTGGTGGCAATGAACTTAACATGGTTTGCAAAGATAGCTGTAACGACGGCTTTTCTAGGACGGCTCGGAGAGCTCCATTTAGCCGGTGGCACACTAGGGTTCACCTTTGCTAATGTCACTGGTTTCTCCGTCCTGAACGGACTTTCTGGTGCCATGGAACCTATATGTGGTCAAGCGTTTGGCGCTAAAAACTTTAGGCTCCTTCACAGGACGCTTCTGATGGCCATATTCTAGTTACTGATAGCTACACTGCCTATTTCTTTCCTGTGGCTTAATGTTGACAAAATTCTAATCCATTTTGGCCAAAAAGAAGACATTTCAGTTGTTGCAAAGACATATCTTTTCTATCTTCTCCCTGATCTAGCTGTCACTTCATTGCTATGTCCTCTCAAAGCCTATTTGAGTTCTCAAAGCATAACTATTCCCATAATGTTTAGCTCGGCTCTAGCGCTTGCTCTTCACTTCCCCATCAACATCTTTCTTGCAAAAGCTAAGGGTCTTGAGGGAGTCTCAATGGCTATCCGGATAAGTGATCTCATAGCCGCAATCCTTCTAGTCTCATATGTAGTTTTGATGGAAAACAGAAAGGGAGCGAAGTGGAAGGAAGGAGGATGGTAGGATCAAGGTGTTCAAGACTGGCTTAGGCTGCTCAAGCTTAGCGGACCTTGTTGTCTTACCACCGGCCTCGAATTGGTGCTATGAGATTTTAATCTTGCTTACGGGAAGGTTACCAAATACCAAGCAGGCAGTGGGAGTGCTAGCTGTCGTGCTAAACTTTGACTACTTGCTTTACTCTGTGATGCTGTCTATGGCCACATGTGCATCTACTCGCGTGTCCAATGAGCTTGGCGCAAATCAGGCCGTCTCCGCATACCGGTCATCATACGTATCGCTGGCAGTGAGCACAACTTCAGGTTGCATTGGAGCCATGGTAATGGTAGGAGCGAGAGGTATTTGGGGCCCACTGTTTAGCCATGATAAAGGAATCATAACAGGAGTAAAAAAGATGATGTTGCTAATGGCACTTGTTGAATTCGTAAATTTCCCGTTAGCTGTTTGTGGTGGAATTGTCCGTGGAACAGCTAGGCCATGGTTGGCAATGTACGCTAATCTTGGTGGGTTTTACCTCTTAGCTTTGCCGCTGGGTATCGTTTTAGCCTTCAAGGCTGCACTTGGACTAGGCGGATTGTTGCTAGGATTTTTAGTTGGGATGGCAACATGTCTGGCATTGTTGTTGGTGATGGTTGTGAGAATAAAGTGGCATGAAGAAGCTGGCAAGGCACAAATACTTGCCTCTAATGAGGCAGTTGTTCAAGATGGAAATCTGAAAACAGTTGATACAGCAAATAACAATGAAGTATGAAAAACACCGGATAAGATGGATAGTGCTTCAAAGCCAGGCTCCATATACATAGGCACAATAACCTCGATCTCCTATCTATTTTCGTCATTTTAACTGTAAAATACAGAGGAATCTTTAATCCTCATGAATAATCAAATATAGCCCCTAGATGCAGTTGAGAAAGCCTATTTATGATGAGGCTAACTCATACATATGAAGAACTTTATATGATCTAGAAGAATGTCCAAAACAAGAAATGCAGAATTCAGCATCTCCCTTTGGGTGCTAAAGAAGAAAAGTCTTGTTCATAAAGGATTCATTCAGAATACAGCTGGAG